CGCGCCGCTAACGTATATAAAATACCACACTTAAGGTTATAAAAGAACTTAATATAGATTATAATAGACTACCTTATAATAAGATATAATTATATTATCTCTTATTATTAAAGCTTAATTGTGCAGAATGTCGCGTTAAGTCTAGTGGGGCGGCTAGCTTACTATTCCAGCCAGCTTACTAATCCCGCACGTTAATAGGGAGATCGTAGACTTATCTATAAGCATTGGGATCCTACTAGTCATTTTCGGCGTATAGGGACGAACGTTAGCCTAATTGTTATCCCACACAGGACACGGACCCGCCTGGTATACGCTTGTCCAAAACTAGTTAGGATGTGTCTATATCGTGCGTTGATTGGCCTGAGTGTTTGAAAGAAGACGTATCGCTGATAGAAACTAATACTCTTTGGCCAAGATCACCGCTAAGTGATAGAGGCTTAGCGTGGGATTAGAGATGGCCTGCTTGCAGAAACCGGAAGCTGCAACTGCATGAGAGTGTACATCTGGAGGTATTGATAAAGTTGATGCTGCTGTCCTTCGCGATGGTTGGTACGATCAGGGTTGACGTGAAACTTAGACGTCCCAAGCGCCAGGCCAGCATCTTCGAGACTAGTTCGGTGTGGACAACGACACCCGCTTTAAGCTCGGCCATATAGTGGTCGGCCACCCCACCACAACGCCTAACTCTCGTGTATATTCTCAACACCACACATCCAGAATGGATCCCCGCGAGCAAGCTATACAACCTGCTATTAGAGATATGAATTCTGGTGTTTTTACTAGTCAGCCGAAGGCCGCTCAGGCATATGGTATTCCGCTATCTACACTTCAAGAACGTCTCCAAGGCCGACAACCTAACACGATAGCTTATTAACACCAGCAGCGATTGACTCTAGAATAAGAGCACTTTCTATTAGAGTAGATACTCGAAGAAGACTCACGCGCATAATCGCCATCTCATCTACGCGTGCGAGAAATGGCTACTAGAATCCTACATATGAATGGCGACCACCAGCCACTTGGCCAACTATAAGTATCTCACTTTGTCGCCCGTAACCCACGCGTCGCATCGATAGTCGGCTGAAAGATTGAGAACGCACGTACTACTGGTGCCAACTACGAGACCGTGAAAGCTTTTCTTAAGCTCTTCGAGCGTACGCGTATAGAGCTAGGCATACACTATCAAGATATATAGAATATGGATGAGACTGGAGTAGCGCTAGGGTGCTCGCAAGCTCTTCAAAGAAGAAAGCTTACGTCAAGTCTCCGGAGGATCGTGAGTGGGTATCAATGATTGAGACCGTCTCCGCCACAGGCGCCAAGCTCCAGTGCCTAGTTATCTTCAAGAGCAAGCATCTTCAGACTACGTGGTTTCTAACTACTAGTACACTAAACCGGCTATACACTACCTCAGAAAATGGATGGACATCAAATTCAATTGGATTTAAGTGGCTACAGCGCATCTTTATGCCAAATACTACGCCCGTCAATGGTGGATATCGACTACTCCTTCTGGACGGACATGGCTCCTATATACCGATTGACTTCATGTGGCCCTGTAAGACTAATAAGATTCAGCTGCTGTATCTTCCCGCGCATGCCTCCCACTTGCTACAGCCACTAGATCTAGCTCCCTTCTCTGTACTCAAGTTTCGCTATCGTAACCAGATCCGAGCACTCTCAGCGCTTGATAACGCAGCACTAGTGAAGAAAGAACGCTTTATTATATTATACAACCAAGCTAGAGCAGAAGCACTCTCAGAGCGCGTGATTAGAGCTAGCTAGAGGGCTGCTGGGCTCTGCCTATACAATCCAGACGTTGTACTACTCTCATCCCAAGTAACTAGCCGACCAGTTACTCCACCAGCAGCTAGCCAAGCACCAGCTGTATCAGAACAAGGCTTATATACTCCTTAAAGCTCACAGGCTCTACGTAAGGCTCAGCAGTAGCTACTATCGTTAGAATCTCTCTTACGAAGCACCCGGCTTGTGCTAAGCAAGGCAGGCAAGGCTATTGCAGAGGCAAATACTAGAGCTGCTCTACTTATAGCTGAAAACCAACGACTTAAATATCAACTAGATAGATACCAGACTACTCGTGTACGAAAGCGAGTTCAAGTTGATCTAAATGAGCGCTTTAGGAATGTTAAGAGTATCAAGGCTGCTATTGACCGAGTAGTAGCTCTATAGGCACAACGGACAAGTTTTTCAGCCGAAAAAGCAGCTGAAAAGGTAGTAATAGCATCAGCAGCTCTTACTCCTAGCTCTTTGTGTACTGAGTGGCAAATATAATTATTGTTGTTGAGAAAATTGCGAATCTAAACTGTGTTATAGGGTGGCCGACCACTATGCAACACTGCAACGCTACAGACACTACAGAGGTGCCATACGTGGCGAAGTATTATAAGTCCCTGAGCGCAATGCTAGCGCCTTGTGCGAGTGAAAAATCGTATCCAACAAGGAGAGAGCCCGCTTGGGCATGAACGCGTCCTAATAAGGCGGATTAGAGCGTGCCCTCTACCAAAGAAGCAGGGTGTGGAAGGCAGAGTAACTAGAGCTGAGTTTACGGCGTAGAAGCTTATGTAAACTGCTTTAATCAAGTTACAGGTGAGGTAGTGCGGTGTAGACGCATCAATGCCTTAGTGATTTAGAGAGAAAAAAGAGAAAGTAAACGGGTTAATTAATTAGCTCTATAAGGGGCTGAACCTCGCGAGGGGAGAACGCCCCTTCTTTAACCGTAGTTGTGCTTCTGATGAAGCTAGTGCAGTAAGTATTAATGAAATCTAGATATAGTGGACGATAGGCATCCCGCTAGTATATCTATCGCTGTTATTTTGTATGGCGTTACAGGAAGAAGTTCAAAGATGTATGGATTGCTGGTGCTCAGCGTGTGCGAGGACTGGGGTAACCAGGCTCTATCAGGAGCGAAGAATTCTGAGCGAGGCGGCCTGATTCTTCCAAGCGGACAGCTGCTATGAGAAAACTGCCGCTTGAAGGATGGTTCAGTCGTGTAGGGAGGGGGCGGCGACTAGGCGCAGACGAGGGGTTACAGATAGAATAAATGAGAGTAGAGAGTATGAGACAAAAAAGAGGATAGAAAATAACGTTAGATGAAGACCTTTTATAAGAAACGTTGGAGACTAGTTCCCTATTCGAGCATAGTGCAAAAACCATGCACGAGGTCCAGATTACCCAAATAGGGCGCATCAATTTTCTAATAAAGGCGTGCCGTCTGATTGTTTACTAGTATAAAAGGTTTAAAACTATATTACTAAGCTATAATAAAAGAATATCTTATATTCTATATTATGTTATATATAGTACTTGATAGGATATGATAGAATTCTTATGATATACGTAACTTATCTTACAGTAGCGTTCTACTAAGACTATAGAACGTAGGGCGCTTATATATTATTAGTCTATATATTCCTATTACTTCGTAAGGCCTTAGTATAGGCTTGTTCCTTTATTCTTCCTTTATCTTCTAGTTGTCCCTTCATTAGGTTTGTAATAGCTAACTCTTACTACTCTCTACCTATATCTAATTCTACCTAAACGTCTTGTAGTAGCTAAGCTACGAATAAACAACTTCAAGGTTGATTTTGTTAATACTTTATTCTACTAGGTTAGAGTGTAACCTACTATTCCTTTCTAAGATAGTTAATCTAATACGCTTTATAGCAAAAAGAGGGGGAAAAATTCAAGGAATAGAGAATAGTAGATAGTATTAGAGGTCCTTCTCTATAGAAATCTCGAAGATAAATAAAAGAGATTGTAAGTTCAACTTATACCAACTTATAAAGTAGAGTAGAATGGGATAGAGTAGAGAGATTAATAGTAAAGAGGTGAAGAGTTAGGGGAATGACGGTGAAGAGAACAAGAGTGAAGAGATTGGGAATAGTTGAAGTGTAGGTATGGAATGAGTAGTAAGGTATGTTAGCAGAAGAAGGTAATGCACTTGTGGTTTTGGACGTGTATATGTTAGAACAAAGATTGACGTTGAATTCAAAAAGGTATCTCGGGCGTTAGAAGAATGTACCCAAACTGAGCCGATGACTTTTTCCGTCCGTTTCCAGGTTTTGAGACTTCCCGATGCCATCCGCTAACCAAAAAACTCACATGCTACCACAGTATCGTCTTGGGGTTTGTCAACAAGCGTATGCTTGCAACACGCCCACGGGCAACCCACTAATCAAATCAGCCGTACAGTGTCGTGCGAGATGTCAGTGCTGCGCGGACTTTGGTCGTTAAGGAAATAAGAATAGGCTAATGTTCATAGTACTCCAGATACTCCATGGGTCTCATGCAAAACCAAAAGCAAGACCCGTCGATGCAAACGCCGCTCATATGCCGACGCCTTATTGAGTGCTTTCTATCAGTGGTGGCGGCGGATGATGTGGAACAAGTCGCAGCCGGTTATTGTGCTGTAAATCCAAATATATATCGGAAGGTGTATCGTGGGCTAGAGGGTGAAGAAACAAACGTGGCACCTCACAGGATGACGCATTTGGGTTTGTCCTTGCCGCGCTTGTTGCCTCCGGTCATGCCAGCACCGCGTGTGCGTCGATCGCCTCCGCCTCGTGAGCGATCCTTCTCGGAGTAGCCGGGGCGCGCCCGAGGTTCTTTTCGGTCGGTTGGGGAGCGGCCAGTGCCCTGGTGTCGTTGTCGTCGGAGCTGTCTGACTACATCAAAGAAGGCCTTTTCGACGTTGACGCAATTCTTGGCAGAGGCCTCGACAAAGTCGCAGCCGAGGTCCTTTGCAAGAGCTTGTCCCTCTTGGGTCGACACTTCACGTTCGGTGACGCGGTCGCACTTGTTGCCAACGAGCATGACGGGCGCCTGACCAAACATGGGGGCAGATGCAGTCATGGGTGAGCCAGGGTAAGTGGGTGAGCCTGCCATGGAAGATTCCTTGACGCGTTGTATTTGGCTGTGGAAGCGTTGTATGCGGGCAAAAGAGGAGCGCGATGAGATGCTGTAGACGAGCACAAAGCCCTCACCGTCGCGTATCCATTGGTCTCGTAAGGCAATGTACTCTTCTTGGCCGGCTGTATCGAGCACCTCGAGCATGCACGACTGACCGTCAATCTGCACCTGCTTTCGATACGAGTCCTCGATGGTAGGATCGTATGTCTCAACAAAGTGGTTCAAGCACAGCTGGCAAAGGTCAGCTTTGTCAGACACAGAGTGGAAGGGACAAGGGGAAGGGGAATTCAGGTACCTGTATAGTCAGGGCGGTCTTTCCAACACCTCCGTCGCCCAGCACCACCAATTTGTACAAAGTCATTTTCCCTGCCATGGCGGCGGTAGTGAAGTAGATGTAGTGGTAGTGTGTAGTATGCGCCGATGCTACGGGCAAGGCAAAGATCAGGTTGTGTAGGAAAACGGGCAAGGTGCGAGGCCCGGGGGTTTTTTTTTTCAAGTTTTATTTTTTTTTCACAGAATCTCGAAGATGAAAGTAGCAGTTTCGTAGCCGACGGGTAGGCTCAGCTTAGGTTGCGATGCCACGGAGAAGGGGGGCGAGGAGAGGGGGAGAAGGAGGGATAGGGAGAGGCAGGGAGGAAGCGAGAGTCCAAACGAGCGCGCGAGACCAAGGGGGCGGCGCAGGTAGGATGAGTGTCGTCGGGGGTCGTGGTCGTGGTCGTGTCCGACGGCGGTCGACACTCGCACAGCAGGACAGGTGCGCGTGTCGACGGGCTGGGGGAGGCAGTGGAGGATCGAAGAGGGCGCGGTGAGGACAATGGTTGCACAGGCAGATTACGAGGCGGAAGCGTGGCGTGTGCCGCAGGGTGGATGCGGAAACGGCGGCGGCAGAAGCGAGCGGGGAGGGAGGTGATGGGCCTGAGGCAGCTTGGACAGGCGAAGGCGAGGAGAGGAGAGGTAAAGTGAAGCGAGGCGCGGCGCGGCGCAGCGACAAGAGGGCGACAAGAGGGCGGCGGCAGCAACAGCGGCGGCGGCGGCGGCAGCACCAGCAGCGACAGCGACAGCGACAGCGACAGCGGGAGCACCAGCACCAGCACCAGCACCAGCAGCGAGGCCAAGGGCTGCAGGCAGGGAGAGATGAGCGGATGGGTGAGTGGGTGGATGGGGTGGATGGGTGGACGGGTGGACGGACGGACAGGCAGGCAGGCAGGCAGAACAGACGGACAGACAGACAGACAGACAGAATGACGGACGGACAGGGTCGAGATCAAGGGAGATGTTGGGCGAGCCGTGGCAGTCTTGGTCAGGGTTCTCTGGCTGCAGTGGCTCGTGTGCCCACGTGAAGAGAGCGCTGCTCCGGCCGGGCGGGCACTGGCTCAGCCTGTGCGCAAATCACCTATCAACCGCCTCCTCCACCACCACCACTACTAGTATTATTATTATTATTACTACTACTACCAACACCACCACCACAACGACGACGACGACGACGACAACAACAACAACAACAACAACAACAAGAATAATAATAATAACAATATTAACACAACAACAGTCACGTCGGGCAGGGCCTGCGGGCAGTGACACACGCGGCAGGCGAGGGCGGGACAGGCAGTCAAGGTGACGGCAGGAGTGGACGAGGTCAAAAGAAACACGCCATTAGGTCAACATGGGCGGCCGGCGTTTTTGAAGTTGGCTCCCTTGTCTTGGGCTGCCCGACCTCCGCATGCGCCTATTCCTGTCCAGGCTGCGCTGTCGACAAGCAGCAGCATCTGCCGTTGCCTTGTGTATATATGCATGTATGGATGTAGTAGTATGTATCCATGCACGTACTCGCCACATACCTGTATGCGTCTGAGTAACTTTGTCCAAGTTTACACATGTCCGGATATATATATAGATAGATATGTGGCTCTAAATATATGTACATGTACATATATGTCAATGTGCTCTCTATTTAAATAGAGCCGTGCATGGTTTGCATGCTCCGAGGGCCAATATATGGGCTTGGTCCATGGGCCCATGGTGCTGGAAACAAGGCACTGCTCTCTGCCCGTTGTGCCCCCTCCTTCCTTGTCAAACGCCATCTTAGCACGCGTGCTAACGCGAGTGCTCGGCACTACGGGTGCGTGCCGCGGAGAGAGGCAGCCCAAGTATGTACGTAGTTGGATACTGGCCTTGCTGCCCTCTGCTCTGCGACAGGCTGGTGTCGCTGTGATTCGACGGCAGGGGCCGTGGTAAGTCCGCTTCACTGCAGACCAAATAGCCGTCGCCCGGGACGCGCCTCGGCGCCCCAATGAGCCAGGCCAGATGGGTGCAAGTAGAGTGGGCGCATGTACTCATGGCTGCGGATTCAGATGGGCAGTGCTGTCATGGCCTTGACCCCCCTCTGCTCGCCTCGCATCCCCCCCATGGCTCGCGCATTCCCATTCCCATTCCCATTCCCATTCCCATTCCCATTCCCGACTCAAGGGCACCGGGCTTCATCAGACAGCAAAGGCGCCAGGGTTTCAGTCAGTCGGCGTAGTGCTCTCACGCTCGGGGAACAGGAAGCTGAGCCGCGACAGCTTGTAGCCGAGCCGGGGGGGGCGTCGGGGTCGAATCTGAGTCCGAGTGGACAGGAGCAGCAGCAGCAGCAGCAGGAGGAGCAGCAGGAGCAGGCTCCACGACGCGCGGGCGGACTGGTGCTGCCTGTGCGTGTCCCTCTGGCCTCCAACGCGCCTGCTTCCGGCCTGCCGCCGGCCGGGCTCCGGCCCGCCTCATTGGCCCAGCGCGCCCTGCCTGCTTACCCCAAATCCCACCCCTCCACCGCCTCCACCATCCGCCGTCCCTCATCCACTCACTATCGCCCGCAGCTTCCTGCAAGCACGTGTGTCGCTGCACCCCCCGGCCCATCGCTCGGCCGCCCTCGGTGGCTATCCAAGTAAGTAAGTACTTACAGTAGTCTACTTACTCTAGTCCTCTACACTTACTCAGTTGGCCCTACCAGCTCCACTGGCGGGCTGACCGACACAGCCAAGTACACATCCCTCGCCCATCCAGAACCACTGCTTTGTCCTCTCGTCGACTTTCCGGGGAGCGGCCCGCTGCAATCCCGGCGCCGTTGAGCTCCCTGCTCTCTCTTGCTCGACTTGCACTCCTTCCTTGTCCTCCGTCCCACGCCATCGTCATCACCCTCCTCCTCCTCCTCCTCCTCCTTCTCCTCCTTGTCCTCATCCACACAGCCAACTAATGCCCACGCACAGGCACAGGCACAATCATGCTGGCCCGCACAAGGCCCGCTTAGCTCAAACCCCCCCGGGCCCTAGCTCAACCGCCTCTGCGAGCTGCTGCCCTGTGGCGACGCCCGGTCATGTCATGCCAAAACACTCGCACCACGCAGCAAGCAACTGTGCCGAAATCATCCCTCCTTGGCTACCCCGACCTGTCCTCGCCCCCAACCCCCCAATTCCATACGTGCTACCAAGTAGTAGACAATAGAGTATGTAGTAGTAGTAGTCGAGTTGTACGACGACTATTCACAGCTTTGCACGTGCTTCTGTTGCTCGGTGCAACCCTTTGCCCCTCCGCTCAAAGTATTCACGAATCTTCTCCCTCGCTACATGGACCGCCTCGCCGTCCTCAATCGTGCTGGGTACCTGGACTTCCTTGTCAAACTCGCCATGCGTCGCGTTCTCGAGCAGCTCCCGCAACACTCGCCGCAGCGTCTTGCCGCTCCTCGTCTTGGGGATCATGCCCTTTCCCTGAATGATGCCTCCCAGACTAGCAATGGCACCTATCTGCTCGCGTACAAGCCCTTGAACCTCGCCAAACAGCCCCTCGTCCACCACGGCCGATTCTGGATGGTCGTGCCTAGACAGAGTGACAAAGGCGAACGGCAAGTGGCCCTTCAAAGCATCGGGAATTCCCACCACAGCTGCTTCGGCAATCCATCCATGAGACGTGATTGCTTGCTCAATGGCGCCTCATCATCGCTGTTAGCACATCCACGCCAATTCATACATGCTAAACTCAACTTACCCGTGCTGAACCGGTGCGCCGCAACATTGATCACATCGTCAGCTCGTGCCATGATGGAAATGTATCCTTCCTCGTCCATCATGCCCGCATCTCCCGTGTCAATCCACTTGCCATTGAACCTCTTCAAGTAGCCTTTGTAGAAGCGTTCCTCGTCTTCCCACAGCGTCGTGAACGCCGTCGGAGCCAAAGGTATCGCCATGACAATGTTGCCCATCTCGCCCCTCGCCACCTCGTTGCCCTTGTCATCCACCACCCGCACGTCAAACCCCGGCATCGCCTTGCCTGCCGAGCCTGGCTTGATTGCAAGTGGCTTTGGACGCTCTTGACAAGAAAATTCCACTCCTGATGAGGCGCTTAGTGCTATCCCGGAAATGGGAGAACCCGACTCTGATGACCACCAGTTATCTACCACCACTGCGCCCGGAGCGCAATGTTTGGTCAGCAACTCCTGATACATACGAATGATACTCGGCTCGCTTCTCTCCCCTGCCAGAAATAGGGCTCGAAGTGTCCTTAGTGCCCCCTTTCTGCCTCTTGCTTCGAAAAAGTGGTTTTCGCCGTCATCCCTTCGAATCGCCCGCAGAGCTGTTGGAGCGGTGAACATGGTTGAGACATTGTATTCCTCCACAATTCGCCAAAACGTACTTGCGTCTGGCGTCCCGATTGGCTTGCCTTCGAATAGAATCGTCGTGGCACCAGCTAGCAACGGGGCGTAGACAATGTACGAATGCCCAACAACCCATCCAATGTCGCTTGCAGTAAACATGACATCGCCTGCACCATGGATGCCAAACAAGTACTTGATGGAAAAGTTGAGGCCCACGGCATGCCCCCCTGCCGAACGAACCACGCCCTTTGGTAGCCCAGTCGTTCCCGACGTGTAAATGATGTAGATTCCATCCCCACTCTTGACCGCTACGGCGTCAGCCTTGAGCCCTCGATTTCTCGCACTCTCGACCAGTCGCTGCCAGTTCCGCTGTCCGGCTGCTTTGAGTATTGGCTCCCATCTCAGTTGCTCTCTTTGCCACACAATGATCTTGGAAGGTTTGAATTCACTCTTGGCAACCGCTCCCTCAATCATGCTCTTGTACCCAGTCGGCTTCTTTGTTCCTTCAATCCCGCAAGATGCCGTCATGATTGCGACGGGCCTACTTGCTTCAATTCTCTGTGCCAGTGCCGCCGAGCTGAAGCCGCCAAACACGACGGCATGTATGGCTCCAAGGCGAACAATAGCCAGCATGGCAAACAGAGCAGCTGGTACCATGGGCATGTAGATGAGAACGACATCCCCTTGCTTGACTCCTTCCTCTCTCAGCACGCCTGCGAGTGTCTCTACTTCTTGTAGCAGTTGCTTGTACGTGTACTGCTCTTTTTGGCCCGTTACGGGACTGTCCCAGCAGATGGCAATGTTGTCTCCATTTCCGTCGGCCACGTGACGGTCAACACAGTTGTAAGTTGTCGAAATCTCGCCGTCCGCAAACCACTCCCAATGCGCATGCGACACGTTGCTCTTCTTCAGGTGCTTTGTCGTTTTCCGGAATGCATGCGACGGCTCTTTGTGCCAGTAAAGATTGGCTGCCTGGCGCTTCCAGAATGCCTCGGGATTGGAGATTGATTCTGCGTAAACTCGGTCTTGGATATGTTGATGTGGCGTCATAGTCGGCTTTGAATTTGGATGTGAAGGCGAGCTGCACAAGACAAGACTGTGACAATGGTACGTGGTCTGGTTTCATCAGCCGTCGGTAAGGGGGCCTTGAATGGAACATAATCTAAATCGCGCAAGAGCTCCGTTTTTGTCATGACGCATCGGACTAAAGGGCCGTGGGGGAATACCTCGGAACGAACAGCTTGGACATACCCAGATCTCCGCAAAGCACTAAGTAGTAGCGGGGAAGCACTAGCTTGATTGGGGTTGAGGTGTCAATGAAGACATGCAAAGCCAGAAACATGCACAGAGATCACACTCGGGCTTCCGCGTTTGCACCCGTGTATCTAATTTCGACTATGATTGTACTGACGGTAGCATACAGTGTTCGCGAGGGCTAATCTGACCGATGGCTTTCCGTCTCCACCACGTTCGTGCTATTGTCTCTCATGTTCGAGCACTGGACAAGCGCAGCCGAGTGGGCAATTTGACGCAGGGCACGGCGGGCATGATCAAATAGATTTGGGAGTCACAGGACAAAGCAAACATTTCCTTGCACACAAGCATATTGTATTCTGCCATCAATCCACGCTCCTCACTCTCCGATCCATCAGATATCAGACTATTTCCGAACATTGTCCGGGTGACGTACTATATAATCGACCATGGAACCACCATGCCCGCGGCTAGACCAAATAGCCCTCAATTCGTCAACACCACTGCTCAAGGTCGCTCCGAGACTGATCACAGGCATCACTATGGCTCTGTCCCCGACACCTCGGGCCCTTCTTTTTGATGTCTTTGGTACCTGCGTCAACTGGCGCAAGTCCATCGTTAGCGCCCTGTGTGGCAAGGCTCACGAGTCGCTCAATGCTGCCACTGCATCGCTAGCTTCCCAGCTTCGACTACGAGCTTCTGCCATGACGGAAGAAGATTGGGGTCGTTTTGCGCAGGAGTGGAGAGACAGCTACAAGATCTTCACCAAGAAACTCGCGACGGATCACTCGTCCACTTGGATGACCGTCGATGACCATCACCTCAAGTCACTCAAGGAGCTCATAGCCAAGTGGGAGCTCCAAGGCTTGTGGGAAGAGCATGAGATTCGCGCTCTAAGCCTTTGTTGGCATCATTTGGTGCCATGGGACGACTCTGTTTTGGGTGTTCAGCTGCTAAACCAGCTGTTCGGTAGGTCGAGGCCAGCCACCTGGTTGCGACGTGTCGCTAACACAAATAGCAACATGCACACTTTCCAACGGTAACATGAGGTAAGTTAGCTTCCGTCCCCATGCGAGGCCCACTGCACTCTCATGCATGCATTGGTAAACAAGGACGCGCTTCCAACCAGGAACACGGATTGTGACCCAAACTCATTTGCCGAACATTGGGGCGCGCGCGTTTGACCGGCTACTAATGCTAAAGTCACTACCCAGCCTCCTCTCTGATCTCCGCGCCTTCACCGCCATACCCTTTACGCACCTCTTCTCGTCCGAGATGTTCGGCACCTATAAGCCGTCGCCCGAAGTCTACCTTGGTGCTGTCAAAGCACTGGGCGTCGCGCCTGCCGAGTGTGTCATGGTAGCTGCTCATTTGAACGATCTCAAGGCCGCCAAAGAAAATGGTCTACAAACCATCTATGTTGAGCGCGCTGGTGAGGAGGACTGGGGCGATGAAGAGATTGAGAAAGCACGCACTGCCGGCTGGGTGGATATGTGGGTGGGTCTTGGAAATGGCAACAAAGGCTTCATAACGGTGGCAGAAAAGCTGGGCATCGCGGTGACAAAAGGCAATGAGGCCATGCGGCTGAGCTCTTCCCTCCCCATTGGCATGGATTGAAGATGCCCATCTGGCGGATTCCTCCTGCTCTCTCCTTGTCAGAGTACGGGTGGATCAGACATGCATAGGGACGCGTGATGTTTAGATTCCTCGGGATCCAGTGGCGTGGACACTTGTGACGCGTAGTGATGGTTGATTTTCGCGACTTGTGTCTATTGAGTTATCCTGGACGAATAGAATAATGAAGACCTTTAGAACGCATAGTTTAGGCGGCCATTCAGTACGCGTTATAAATGATGTTGCACGTGGCGTGGCGTCTGGGTATCTACTTTGTCTCCCCTGGTTTTGCTTGGCGCGTCAACTGAACACATGTGTACAGCAGCCTGTGTGACGCGACCCATTACGATAGATGTTAAAAAAAACATGATTTGATAATAAGATGTATATGATACTAGGTCTGATAAATTCTACGTGTTTTTTTTGAGATGGTGATATGTTGGTTTGAAATTTGTGATTGGTGTTGTTGAAAAACATTTCTTATATTTATTTACAGTATTCAATCATTGCAAAAAATTATGCTGCACGCACAACAACTCTGATCAAGCTCAAAATTGGTACATATAATGCCAGCATCACGAAGATATTTATAACACGGTTTTTAAGAGAACTGACCTAGAAATCACGATGTTCAACTGCTGAAGTGTATACGATGACGTCATCGAAGTCTCCCAAAATTAACATGACTGACAGCAGCGATTGCCGAGATTGCAGTAAAATAGGAGAACATGGGCTATCGGAGAGAAATCAAATGAATCGACGGGAAATCAATAGGTCGGTAGTGGATAATCACGACGGCTAGTTTGCATCAACCAAAGTGCCTGATGTGGTAGATACGGACTAATTACGAAGCTCGAAAGGAGAGTCTTGATCATCGAGACCATGGCTATTATACGTAGCATACAAGTGTATACAGCAGAAAGCAGATGAACGCAAGACACGTAAGCCAATGGCAAAAGTAGCGGCACAAGTCGCGATGGGCATGCAGACGAGGGCACCAGACATCACAAGACACGAGAGAGAAATTGAAGTATTATGGTATCATTCCATGCAAAGCAGAAACCGACTGATATAACCGTGAACTCCGAGCCTTAGTATACTGTACAAGGCTATGACCATCCCACCGAGCACCGAAGCCGACCATGGACTGAACAAGTCGGCAAAAGTCGTAACATGAAAACCGTGAAGAAAAGCACTCTAACCACCGAAACCGTAAAGGGTGCGGCCTTGTCGCTTGAGAGCGTAGACGACGTCGAGAGAAGTGACCGTCTTGCGCTTGGCGTGCTCGGTGTAGGTGACGGCGTCACGGATAACACCCTCGAGGAAGGTCTTGAGAACACCGCGGGTCTCCTCGTAGATCATGGCTGAGATACGCTTGACACCACCACGACGGGCGAGACGACGGATAGCGGGCTTGGTGATACCCTGGATGTTGTCACGAAGAATCTTGCGGTGGCGCTTGGCACCACCCTTTCCGAGACCCTTGCCACCTTTGCCGCCTGCATGATGGGTTAGTGTGCTGTCGGAGGCTATAGACGCGCTGCTGGACGCGTCCTGAAGACAGAGCGTAGCAGGAGGGAGTACTCACGACCAGTCATGTTGATGGATGTGTGGGGGAGATTGTTGTTTGGGAGAGCGTATGTAGAGTGGATTGGAGGGCGTGTGAGTGATAGACGCGGTGAGATTGGATGCTGGATTAGAGATGGGGCAGGCGTAGTGGTGTTTATGAGGGCGAGGGGGCGCGTGCACGGCGGGCGCCAGATCACACACCTGCCACGCCGGATCAGAGTGACGCACGGGCGCGCTTTCCAGATCAACGACCGTGCCCCTTCCCTTTCGGGCGCGCGGCCAAGCGAGCCAATGGCGCAAGCGCGCTCACTTGTGAGTTTTGTTGCAGCGCGCATTGCCAGCAGTTTGGCCTTTGGTGTTCCTGGCCTGTTTTGCACGCGCAACAAAGAGTGATTTTCCAGGCAACTGCCCGCCCCCCCGATTACCATATAAGCAGCGCCCGCCCGCCCGTCTCCATCCCTCATCCACTGCACAGCTCCACTCATCAGCCTCATCCACACACAACTCCTTTCATCCACCACCACCACCACAACAACCATGGCTCGCACCAAGCAGACCGCCCGCAAGTCCACTGGTGGCAAGGCTCCTCGTAAGCAGCTTGCCTCCAAGGCCGCCCGCAAGTCCGCACCAGTAAGTCCCTTCTTACACCCTGCCCACCGTCGCCACTCTAACCATCTGTAGTCTACCGGTGGTGTCAAGAAGCCTCACCGCTACAAGCCTGGTACCGTCGCTCTCCGTGAGATCCGTCGCTACCAGAAGTCGACTGAGCTCCTCATCCGCAAGCTGCCCTTCCAGCGTCTTGTCCGTGAGATTGCCCAGGACTTCAAGTCCGATCTCCGCTTCCAGTCCTCTGCCATCGGCGCTCTCCAGGAGTCCGTCGAGGCCTACCTCGTCTCCCTCTTTGAGGACACCAACCTGTGCGCCATCCACGCCAAGCGTGTCACCATCCAGAGCAAGGACATCCAGCTCGCCCGCCGCCTCCGCGGTGAGCGTGGCTAAGCTTTTCACCTTCAACACGACATGACAACATCCTCGGTTCGGTGATGGGTCTTTGGTTCGGATAGTACAGGCGTTTGGGTTTTTTCATGGTTCACGGTCTTCAACTCGGTTTTATGAGTGCACACGAGCGGTGCTGAGCATGTAGTATATCCAGGCTAATCAGTGGTCACTGGTCGATATCCCACGAAATCAATAGATTTCCACTTCAAACTCTTCAATGCTCCTGACGTGACCTTTGAACCCTCCGATTCGGTGATTGACTTGTACCGTTACACTAACACCCTGCCCAAAAGCGTAATTTTGCCACCATGCCATGCTTACCCGAACTATCCGTCTTTGAAGATGGCTACACTGGCAAGCGAGATCGTCAGCAGCTGTGCTTGCGATCACAGTCACAAACAAGCTGATTCTCCTTTCTCGGTATCCTTTTTACAACCGCATCCTTGATCCGCACACACCGAATTTCGCCATGACCTGGCAAGGTGAACTATCATCATTGATGTTGCCTCCTCGACTGAAGACGGCCGATGCACCGGCTGTCGGCCAAAAGGCACCCTCATTGCCCAGCTTAGAGAGATCCGTACAGAATGGCAAGCCAATCATCATCACTTTCCTTAGGCACTGCGGCTGTCCTTGTAAGTCGCATTATTTGGCATTGGGCCGATTTCTAGACTAAACAATCTTGACAAAAGCACTGTAGTCGCCGAGAAGACTTTCCTCGACTTGCGTGCCATTGCACCTACTCATCTGGATATTCATTTCGTGGCGGTTTCTCACAGCGACCAAGAATCTACAGACAAATGGCTTGCTTCGCTGCCCGACCCTTCGCAAAACGTACAGCCCAATCTCCATGTCATTGTTGATGCGGAGCGTGAGACGTACGCTGCGTGGGGCTTGGGTACGTCGGGCGTCTGGCACATGGTGGCGAGCATGCCCAGCGTTCTGAAACTGGCCAAAGAGGGCATCAAAGTCAGGCCGACTGAGAGTGGCAGCAGGTGGCAGACCGCCGGTAACTTTGCTATAGATGCTGAGGGTATAGTGAGGTGGTCTCGGAAAAATGAGCGTGCAGATGATATGCCGGACTTCAAGGAGGGGCTTGAAGCGCTGCTGAAAGATGGAGGCGAGTGAATTTAACCCAGTCAAGCCATGCAAGGCAGAAGCACAAGACATTCCTTGCGACTACGCCGTTTAGTATTTGGGCTTCTTATTATTTCTAATTCCATCATCCTTCGTTCCGCGTTTTCCGCTTCACCATGTGGGGGCGCGTGATGTAACCTTTCCTCATACGCGATCAATCGCGTCAAATATTCGTGGAAACGAATGGTTCAAGCTATAACCCAGATAAGCCTGTTGTTCTGAATAACTCTTATGCTTTACATGAATGACCACCATGGGTAACTACAGCTTGGGCCCAGCTTGTGCTGAATGGGTGTAGAGGCCTATGACCTCATGAGTAGAGTACTGCATAGGCAGACGCGAGAGCGCGCCACCCTGAAGGCGTACCCCACCGCCACTACAACTACACGCACAACCAGCACACTGCGGCTGGATCATGGCATCATGACAGCACCAAAACTGCAGCTAATGAACCAAGTGGGCGAATATGGCTCGGATATTGAAATCGAATCTGTCGCCACACTGAGCGATTATGGCTCAGACATCGACATTGACGACGACATCTTACTCGCAAGCGCCTTTGCCACGATAAGAGGCGCAGCTCCTCTCGACAGAAACGCAGTCTTGCCCAGTGTAGAGTTTGAACAAGGCAAGATTGAAGATGAAGAGCAGGATGTGGAGGGCTTCGTGCACATACACAAGCCACCAGTGCTGCGTGTCGCTCAAGGCACGAGAAGTGCCCTGGCTGATGAGCAGAGGAATCCACAAAGCTCTTCTCTACGAGGTCGGTGTACGTTGGAGGTCGAGTATGACGAGAGATCGCGCCGAGAATGGAGTGGTAAGTTCAGTATTGTCGCAGTTGAGAGAGTGTCTATGTCGACTGACGACTAACAGCTATTAGTTCCCTTCGAACAACCGGCCTTGTCTCCTCGACGCTCACCATCTCGTAGCACAGCAGAGACCAAGCACGACAATTGTTCACCACTCGAAAGATTTCGCACCAAGCCCAAGAAGCCTTTGTCGGTGACAGACCTTGTCTCTCCGGCATGGTGTGAGCTGCAGTACTTGTACACTTTGAGCAAGTTTGGGCGCAAACCGAGAACACAGGCGATGCGCACGGGCTCCAAGATCCACGAAAAGCTCGAGGCCGAGGTGCATACCACAGTGCCCGTGCAAGTTGAAAGCAAAGAAGATCGTTTTGGCCTACGTATATGGAACACGATATCTGGCTTGCGTTGTCTAAGTGAGACTGGCCTCACCCGAGAGTTGGAAGTGTGGGGGGTTTTGGAAGGCCAGGTCGTCAATGGCATTATCGATGAATTGTCCTACCAGTGCCCTGATGCTGCTTTTGAAGAGCAGCTTGAGAAATCTAGCGCTGAGAAAAATGGCGGCATCATTCCTCTGCCCTCAGACCAGCTCAGAATCTCAAATGCTTTTGCAAAGGATTGTACTGGAGGCATGCTACAGTCTGACCGTCAGATCTACATAACTGATGTCAAGACGAGGTCTTCAAACTCGCTTCCTGCTGGAGCTTCGTTGCGTCCGACCTGGATGCAACTGATGCTCTATCGCAAACTGCTCGAGTCATTGTCGTTGAACACGGTCGACGCAGAAACTGTCTTCTCACGCTACGATTTGCAGCCCCTCGAAAACTTCAGCGATACGTTTATGCAAGCGGTAGGCGGCATCGGCCCCCACAACCAGGCCCCCAATTATCCAAATCTCCTCTCTCTGTGGTCACTGCTGGTTACCGAAATGCAAATCGCAGTCCCTCCTACAAGTCTATCGCCCATTGTTCGCGCCGAGTTTCGCTATGCCAAGAATGGTCATGTCATTGGATCAGAGCTCATGGTTTATGACACTGATACCATTGACAAGTACATCCGCGATGAAATGGCGTGGTGGAAGGGGCGGAGAGAGGCAAAGGGAGTGGAAATAGAAGAGGCTTTCAAGTGCAGAATATGCGATTTTGCCGATAGCTGTAGTTGGAGAAGGACAAAGGTTGATGAGGCTATTGAGAAAAGTAGACTGAGGCGAGCAGCTAAGGAAAAGAGTGCTGTATAGCCAAATAACTACTCATTGAACTGTTATCATCTTACATCACTTGCATCATATGCATACTAGCCTGGTCAACGTGGTAGAGACTAATTCATATCATTGGTTTGCTATATCGATCCCAGTAAAGGATGCAGAATCAGTTGCCAGATCCAGAAGTATATGGTCCACCTTGCAGAGATCAGGCCAAATAGGAAACACTGATACCATGAAACTTTGCGAATGAATCATGACAGTGGACATGAATCACATGCTAGGGGGCCAAGTATTATCTAGATATCGCCCAACATGGTGATTTACTGACCACTAGGAACCTGATAAGGCCCATAGCCTGGCTTTGGGAATTTGGGCGTACCGTCCGCATTCCAGTCAAACTTTTGAGCGCGAATCGTGCGGGCGCTCCAGCCGTTGGTTGGATCTTTCATTCCATGGTAGACAATCCAGTTCTCGGTGTTGTCAGGAGAAGTGGTAAAGGAAGCATGGCCAACACCATACGCAGACTCGCTCGGGTTCTGATAGAAGACGGGATACGGGTGCTTCCGCCAGTCGCTGGGATTCATTGGGTCGTCGCCAACAAGCTCGAGCTGGCCAAGGCAATAGTTGCGATTATCTGAGCGGGCGGCGCTGTAGATGAGGAAGTTTTGGCCCGTGGTAGGGTTGGTGAGCTGTTGAGGGCCCTCGTTGGACGAGAGGCGATCGTTACTTGCGCGACCAAAAGGCGTCTTCTCCCACGCATACTCTGGCACCGAGATGACCTGGCGCTCTGAGAAGGGCGATATGGTGGTAGAGGGATCCGACATTTTGGTGATGCAAAGGTTCGCTGGCCAGCCATCATACTTACGGTACCAGCACGAGTAGATGTGATACAGCTGATCCTTGTACTGGAAATATGTGCCATCTATAGCGAACTGGTCATAAGTCTCGAGTTGGCCATGGTACCGATAGGTAGCAGCCCACGGATCTTGGCCTTCACCCGCCACGACGAACATGCGGTGATTGACGGCGGGACAGTTGTATTCGCACCACATTTCGACCTCGGGGGGTGGCGAGTCATAATTGGGATCGGCAGTGAAGATGACCCACCAAGCACCGCCAATCTGGTGGATTTCCGGAGCCCACAGGTCAGTTGAGTAGGGCTTGTTGGGCTCTGGGTGAAAGATGGTCTTTGACTCTGCGCCATTCCAGTCTGTTATGGACTTGCTGCGCCAGAGGGTTATGTTGACGTTGTTGGTGTAAGTCATGTAGTAGAAGTCACCATGGCGGAACATCCAACTAACAGTGGTTAGCACTCACACTGCGACGGCGGCAATCAGGCTTACGGATCAGCACCCGTGTCGACGATGGGGTTGGTAAAAGTCGAGGTCGAGTTGGCAGGAGGAGAGTATTGGCAGAAAGCGCCAATGGCAAGTGCCACGGTGACCAAGAGCTTGAACATGCTGAGGATGGAGAGAGGCGGCAGCTTGAGCAGAGCAGAAGGAGTTGAGGCGGCTGAGGACCAGTCGACGACTAGGCGCGGAGCGGGTGGCCAGAGTATTTAGGCGGAGAGGCGGGGTGGTGTGGAGCGAACAGTCCCAAAAGGGAAGTGACATGAAAGAGGAAACGTGCATTTGTGGGTGAATGTACTAGTACGTACATACTATCTAAGGACAAACAAAAAACAATAGCCATGACGCCCCATCTGCGGGGGGAGGATTGGCGCAACAAGCAAGCATAGGTCCGTCCATGGCAAGTCATGTGCTGTGACGGAGAAGTAGTCGTGTGGTGCCTGTGACTACATACATGCTTGGAGGCGGATCCATGTCGGGTGAGGCTGGCAGCTGGTGATGTGTGTGTGTGGAAGTGACCCAAGCTTCCCCGCGCCGGTGGAGGCTGGCTGTGCTAGTTGCAGGTCGCACCCACCACCCATGCACGTATTACTTGCTAGCACGTACATAGCATCTAGGACAGGCTTGGCACCACTTTTGCGATCCACGACGCCCTGCAAAGCCCTCGACTGCACTCACCATGAACAATTCGCAGTTCCGACGGCTGCTTGTCGACACCCCCAAGTCGCGAGATGGAGACAAGCAAAAGTCTCCAGCTGCGCCAACGCCGAGGGCGGTGCTGGGTGCGCGCAAACACTCGAGCATCCCCATGACACCGTCAGTGTTTCCTTGCAGCTGCGTGCCCGACTCCCACTGACACGCCCACAGGCGCCAGGTTGGAAGAGGCTCGGTGCAGGCCGACTTCGCCCGCCAGCTCGCCGAGCGCAACGCCAAAAACAACCCCCAGAAGAAGGCCGCATCTTCTGCGCCCAAGGGCACCAAGCTTGCTGCAGGATATACAGACCGCACCAAGACGCGCGTCGACGATGAAGACAACGACATCGCAAAGCGCATCAAGAACCTCGAAGAGTCCATGAAGCTTGGCCAAATCGACCGCGAGACGTTTGAGAAGTTGGTACAGGACATTACTGGCGGTGACGTTGGCACTACACATCTGGTCAAGGGCCTCGACAGAAAACTGCTCGAAAGAGTGCGTCGTGGCGAGGATGTCCTGGGAGGTCAGGACAAGAAAGTACAAGATGAGGAAGAGGATGCCGACGAGACACCTGATGTCGAGGATGCCTTCGACGAGCTGGCCGAAGCTGAGATTGGTCCCGTTGTGCGCGAAAAGGTAGAGAAAAAGGGTGAAAAAATATCTTTGCCGCCTCCAGTCGCGGGCGTCAAACGAAGTCGTAACGATATTTTAAAGGAACTCAAGAGACAGCGCGAGGAAGCTGCTGCGGCGGCGGCAGTCGAGCACGAGAAAAAGTTCCCCACTCTAGGGCCTGGGTTCCGCAAGATAAATGCAAAGGGCGAGACATCACGCATCGAAACGGACGAAAAGGGACGCGAGGTACTCATCATTACCGGACCAGATGGCAAAGAGAAGAGGAAGGTCAAGAAGCAAAAGACAGAACCCCAACCCACGCCTGAAGTCCGCCATGATTTGGATGACGAAAAGAAGCCCATCAACATGCACAATCTCCACGCACCCAAGAAAGACGAGTCCGAAGACGAGGACATATTTGAAGGAGTTGGTTCCAACTATAACCCACTGGCTGATTTGGGCGACGGGGACGACTCCGACGAAGCAACAAAAGACCCACAATCTTCTGTTCCGAAGGCAGACAACGGCGGTCAATTATCAGAAGGCGAGGTGTCTGGCAGTGAAATAGAGACGAATAACCAAGAATCGTCCAAAGACGCCATGTCTGGCGCGCCTTCGAAACGAGACTACTTCAAGTCAGTAGCCCGTAGCACAGATGGCAGCCAAGGCTCAAATGTCGCTGCTGCCGATGCAACTGTACGCGCTGCTCTTGCAAAGGTGCGAAGTCTGGATGAGAACTCCACGCTGCTGCAGAACCTGGGATCATCAGATCCCAGCGATCCCGCAGCAAAGGAGGCACGTCTCAAAAAGCGCGCTGCCGAGCTAGCTGCCGCTGACCGCGATATGGAGGACATGGACATGGGCTTTGGGGCGTCACGTTTTGATGATGCTGAAGAGATGGAGAGAGAAGGCGAAAAGGTCAAATTGAGCCAGTGGAAAGGGCTCGGTGCAGAGGGCGACGAAGACGAGGGCGAAGATGGCACAAGAGGTACTAGGAAGCAACGCAAGCGTGGAGGCAAGAAGAGAAAAGGTGACAAGAACAACGCTGATGACGTACTGCATGTGATGGAGAGACAAAAGGAGAAGAAGTCTAAGACACTGGGCTGATGTATTGGCTATAGCATGTTTGTACTTATGATTAAACGCCGCATCAAGCTCCTCTTGGGATGGTGTAATCTCTTGCGCCTTCTGTGCTGAATAAGACGACTACAGACTTTTCATCCAAACTCAGTCCGGCTTTTTGCATACTGCACGCTTTCTTGAGTGCAGTCATTGTGGCTGCCCCACACGGCCCATTCTTCACACCCCGGCTGTGCAGGTATTGCACATCGTGGTGCACATCGACGTCGGATACCGTGACACTTGCATCGACACCATGTTTCAGAATCTGCCATGCCGTCTTTGATGTTGTCCCGCAGTTCATGCCGTTCATGATTGTGTGGCTGGTAGAAATGGGCGTAATTTCACCGGCTTGCAGACTAGTTTGGAGACTCGCCGCGACGTCTGGTTCAACCGTGATGACAGTAGCAGGGCGAGTCTGGGCTTTGTAATGCATCGTAACAGCTTGCGCCCACGAACCTACTCCGACAGCAGCAAATACGTGCGTCGCTCCTGGCAGGCCCATTTCCTCTAATTGTCTATCGGTTTCTGTGAGCATAGTCATGTAACCTTCGACGACCCACTGGTCAAGGTCAGCTTCTTGCTTCGCGTCATGTGTACGGGTGGGGATACACCTCTGGGATTTCCTCATAACCTTCCCAAGCCACATCCATAATTAACATGCCACCCTTGTCAGCTTCTTCTCTTGCCTTTGCAACAGAGTAATCATAGTCGCCATCCACGACAACGACTTTTGCCCCCTCACTCTCGATTCTCTTCTGCGTGGCCTCGTCCATGAAATCAGGCACAAAGATGATGGCCTTGATCTGCAGGTACTTTGCCATTCTTGCAACCGCCCTGCCCCAGTTGCCTTCGGTACATGTCACCAATTCTATGCCTGCTTTCCGTGAAGCGTCTCCAAGCTCATCCAATGAAGCTGATGGTGGAAGGCCACACCTGGCGGATATGGCACTGCGGATTGCCCACGATGCACCAAGAATCTTGAATGCTGGTAGGCCCAGACGCAGTGATTCATCTTTCAACAGGACGTGTCCGAGACCAAGTTCCTGAGCTAAGTCTGGGAGAGCAGTCAGAGGAGTGACGGCGTAGTCAGGTAGGGTCTGATGAAATGCCTCCACCACCACTGCGGGGTTTCCAGGAGCACCATGATATGTCCAGGTAGCTGCAGATGGATTTTGAAACATGTTGTACAATTGGCCTCAGTTCTGCCTGTCTTGGCTCGTGCAAAAATGTGGATGATGGTGTTTCGGGAATTTTGACAGCTTGTCAATGTGACTGCTTACAGACTGCCAGTACTTTGCTTCTCCTGTTGTTGCATATGCGCATAAGCCACGCGTGTCTCCCCGACGGAAAGCGCCCTAAACCGGATGGGCCCAGGAAAGCGTGGCGAAGCTCGTTTGAGGGTCCTTGTTGGCAAGTACTGCGGCCACGCTACTATTACTAGTCATTAGTTGAACCATTCAGTACGTCATTCCTGAAGTAACTTCCTCTTGTACGCGTTCCCTCCAAAAGCAACCTTCAGCCACTATTGGTAGAGCAAACAGCACCAACATGTCGCAACCCAGCCCCCGGTCAGCTCTGGCAAATGTTCCAAGAGTTGTATTACAGCCGACCTGGGACAACACTGTCGCGGCGTCGTACCTTGTAAAAGTAACTGATCATGTGCATGCACACATGTCTTATGGGCCAAGCTAACATGGCCACAGGGCACCATTTTCTTCATTGCGCATCCATTTCTTTACCCGCTACTACAAGCCCGCCTACTCCCAGCATTTCTCCTCAGTGTGTTTGTGCTTCTCAACCTTTTCTTCTGGACCTTGCTACCCCAAGTCCTCTTTCTCAAGCTGTTCCACCCTGCGGGCAGTGCCTGGGTCAACGCCGTGTTTCTCGTCCTCGGAGAGGGAGCAGCCATAGTTGCTCTACTATTTGAGTCTTTCTTGGTGGTATGTACTTGTGCCATATCCACCAACAAAGGCAAAGTGCTCATCTAGTGCAGGATGAATCTCAAGTCGATGTTTTCGACGCCGTCTTGGTGTACAAAGGCTATGAAGACCTGGTCCGCCAATCTCGACCCCTCTCCGAAGATGCTATGAACGATCCTGTCCGCCGACTCGGCAAGCCCACACGCCCCTCGGTCTATGCGCCCTTTTCGTTTCGTCAAATCGCCGAGTTCATCCTCCTACTGCCTATGAACTTGGTACCATACGTTGGCGTACCGATATTTTTGTTATTGACGGGCTATCGGGCGGGCCCGCTTCAGCACTGGAGATACTTCCAGCTTCTAGGCTACGACCGCAAGCAAAGGAATCTCGCCATCAAAAGTCGACGATGGCAATACACTTGGTACATGCCTCGCGTATAACAATAGGAATGTAACTGACCAACAACAGGTATGGGACAGCGTACTTGTTCCTGCAACTTGTGCCGCCATTCAGCATGTTCTTTCTTATGACAGCGCCGGCAAGTTCTGCTCTATGGGCGGCTGATCTGGAAAGACTGCGACGGGAGTGGGAGGCGGGGCCGGGTCATGCGCCACAATACACGGACGAACCGGATGCGACCATCTGATTGTAGGTGGTGTACTACTATATTACACAATCGTTTGCCCTTTTGTTGGGATTCAGGGCGAGAAGCTCGATGCAATATCAGTGCTTAGGATCATGTGAACACGCTAGGACGTTGTGGTGCGGCAATGCTCGATGTGACCGGAGCTTGACGCGTTGTGCAAGCTCTCTGCAGCCGTCATGGCGGGTTCATGGACGCAGTTGCAGCGAGGGAGAAGGCGCCTGGGCGACAGGCCAGTGCATGGCGACTCGAATAACATGTGAATGGACTGCAGTCGGCAGCACCCTTTCGCGGCACACTTGCTCAGGAGCGCGTTGTGTGTTGCCTGGAGGGTACTTGGATGCAAGATGCAGCTGACTCGAGCAGGGAACGTGACACGCTAGTTGTTTAGGCCATGGGCCGCATACGTCAATCAGAGGCCGCGCTTCGCCAGCCCCATGCATACGTCAATCGGAGACCGCGCTTCCCCAGCCCCATGCCTTCCCGCCCCATACTTAGCTTGCAGCCAGCTTAAGCTCCAAAGCTCCATCGCTCCATCCATCTCTCCCCCACGACCTTTCGAATCGTCCATCTCACACCCATTCTCCTTCTACATCCCATCTCACTCTTATTTCTCGCCCGTCATCATGAAGACGGCGATTCTTCTCGCAGCGGCCAGCTCGGCCTCTGCTGCTGTCTACAAGATGCCGCTCAAGAAGGTCTCGCTTTCTGAGCAGCTGGTAAGCATCCATCGCAGTCACATGCGCTGGCACTTTAGTCTGATGATCGCCAGGAACATGCCAACGTTCAGACCCAACTCGCTGGCTTGAAGCACAAGTACTCTCAGCAGCGCGTGGCAAACCTCAGGCCTCAGTCTCAGTTGGAGGCTGCCCTCACGGCGCCCCACATTACCGACGGATCGCACCCTGTGCCTGTCAGCAACTATTTGAACGCGCAGTGTATGTCGCATGAGCTTCGCAGTATCGTATGGTCAGCACTCACACGCCTCTAGACTTTTCCGAGATCTCACTCGGCACACCTCCTCAGTCGTTCAAGGTTATCCTTGACACGGGCAGCTCTAACCTCTGGGTTCCATCGACTCAGTGCACCTCGATCGCTTGCTTTCTTCACGACAAGTACGATTCGTCTAGCTCATCTACATACCAGAAGAACGGTTCGGACTTCGAGATTCGCTACGGATCGGGTTCTATGAAAGGATTCGTCTCCAACGATGTTTTGCAGATCGGCGACTTGAAGGTAAAGAACCAGGACTTTGCCGAAGCTACCTCTGAGCCTGGTCTCGCTTTTGCCTTTGGCAAGTTCGATGGCATCCTGGGTCTTGGCTACGACACCATCAGTGTCAATCACATAGTGCCACCCTTTTATAACATGATCAATCAAGGCCTTCTTGATGAACCTGTTTTTGCCTTCTACCTTGGCGACGTCGCCGACAAGCAGGGGTCCGAGGCCACCTTTGGCGGCATCGACGAGAGCCACTACACGGGCAAGTTGATCAAGCTTCCTTTGAGGCGCAAGGCCTACTGGGAGGTTGATCTCGATGCCATCACCTTCGGCAAAGAGACTGCTGAGACGGAAAACGTGGGTGTCATTCTGGACACTGGCACATCTCTGATTGCTCTCCCCTCGGCTATGGCTGAGCTTCTGTAAGAACTGATCCGTGATACATAGTGATGTGGGCGCTAACAATGTACAGCAACAAGGAGATTGGCGCTAAGAAGGGCTTCAACGGCCAGTACTCGGTCGAGTGCGACAAGCGCGACAGTCTGCCCGACCTTACTTTCACGCTTACTGGACACAACTTCACCATTAGCGCCTATGACTACATTCTTGAGATCTCGGGATCTTGCATCTCTGCTTTGATGGGTATGGACATTCCCGAGCCTGCCGGACCTCTTGCCATTCTCGGCGACGCTTTCCTCAGGAAGTGGTACTCTGTATACGACCTGGGCAACTCCGCTGTCGCTCTTGCAAAGTCCAAGTAAACATCTAGCCCTGGACAGGATGGCCAAGAGGCAAACGAAATGGCATGAGAAGCAATGTTGATCAAGTGATTGGAGTTTGGCTGAAATTGGGCTTTGTTTGAAAGGGTCTGGGAGGTATTTCTTTGGCTCGGCATGGCAATACGGTCTGTGTACGAATAATAACAAATGCGATAACAAGTCAAGTAACTCGGCGTTGATTGCAGCGTTATGTGTGTAGCAGCAGCAGTAGTAGTATGCGCCTTGAGAGTGACGGATGCCGTGATGAGCTAGCGTAATAACAGCCGGCCGTGAATGATTATGGACCGTCGACGCGGAGAAGTGGTGAAGCACGCGCTAGACGGACGGCTATCTAGTTGCCTTGGGTGTCCGGGGCTATTATCCCAAGTACATGATAGTGCAGAGTAGTACAGTACGCATGTGGCAGATACGGCTTGCTGCGGCGTAAATGTCCATCCCTATCGATAAGTACGGACCAATGACGTCTGCAGGCTGGCCCATGGTGACAACCGGAGGCTGGCAACCTAGCATGCAACCCCGAAGAGCGTGGGTTGATAACGACGAGGTCGCTGTCCGAGTACATATGCGAGTATGACGCGGTCTGCACATGACAAGTGAAGCCAAGTGGCCTGGTGCTGGTGCCTGGGAGTGTGTCTGGCAGTCTTATCATGTCACGCTAACAGGCGCCCTGCGGGAGTCTCGTGGCTGATGAGCGTGCATGGCTCACCGTGTACCTGTCCAAGTCATTCCTCCAACCTTTCCAATATGTGACATTCAACAAAGCACCCAACTGCCTTGCAGCCTCCGACTTCCTTTGCAGTAATAGTAATTTACACTACTCTTCCCACCTCGACCTGCCTTCTTCGGCCCGCCGTAGTACCACCGCTGACCAGCCTACCGACGCCGTCGACCCTCATCGTTTGTTGAGCGCAAGCACACCCACACCCAACACATCCTCCCAACATGGCTTCCCAGGACAGAGACAGAGATAGATCGACTCGGAGAATGAGCAGAAGACGGAGAGATTCAAGACGGGAGTCTCGCGGCATGTCACTCGATGTGCCGGAGCGCTTCAAGGATGGCGATGATGCTCAGGAAGATGTTACTGCGCCAAAGCGAAATAACACCATGTCGATGAACCAATCCCTATTCTCCATGATAGCTCGCGCGGGGCAGCAGTCGCAAACAGACCTCGGCACGATGCAGGAAGCTGACTCCGGTGATAGCGAAGATGAAGGTAAGCGGCAGGCATCGTATCATGGTCTGGACGGCGCTGCCAGATTAAGTCGTTTAAGCTCTGCAAACGACTTCCACACCTCGACAGAGGGGCCTCACGACAAGAACGTGGCAAAAGGAAAGCACAGGCGGACACTGTCCGAGAACAAGCTCTTACGCTCGCTCCCCAAGTTAAAGGTGTCGAGCCGGAAGGAAGGACGCTCAGAAGGCCCACGAGCCCATCCAATGTCTTCGTCGCAATTTCTGCCACCCAAACCGTCGCTCAATCAATCTTCAGCAACCTCGAAGAAATGGCAACCTAAAAGCAAGGGCAAGGACACGGAAAAGGAAAAAGTCGATATCACAATGGGTGGGGAAACACATGTTGAAATAGCATCCGATGCTGGCCAGAAGAGTAAAAATGGAACCATGGCCGGCTTGGATAAGAGCCAGCAACCTGTGACGCTTGCAAAAAGAATCCAGCAAATATTTGAATTTGAGCAGGTTGAGGAGGTCATCTCCGAATACCCATGCTGGTTACTTCAAAGTATCCTATTACAGGGCTACATGTACATCACCCAGAAGCACATATGCTTTTATGCATACCTACCCAAGAAGCATGTAAGCATACATTACCCGAATTTGCTGCAGTCTACTTATGTTCGATAGCATGATGTCACAAAAACGGGCTACCTCTTCAAGCGTGGCCGATCGAAGCTGAACAGATACTGGTTCGTCTTGCGTGGCGACGTACTCGCCTACTACACCAACCCAGCCGAACTTTACTTCCCAAGAAACCGCATCAATCTTCAGTATGCCCTGACTGCCGAAGTGCTTGAAAGCACCAAAAAAGGCGAAGAAGAGACTAGTTTTGCAATCACAACGGATGAAAGAAGATTTGTTTTCAAAGCAGACAGTGCTGCGAGTGCGAGGGAATGGACCAGATCGATTCAGAAGGTCATTTTTCGAACTCATAACGACGGAAACAGCGTGAAGATATCGCTCCCGATACAAAATGTTTTGGAGATTGAAGAGAGCTCGATACTGGACCTTGCAAATACCGTCAAGGTCCGTGTCATAGACAACGATGAGACGTTTGCTATAGACGAGGTATGTTTTATCCAAGGTCTATCTTAGAATTTCTAACAAAAGCAGTACTTCTTCTCGTTCTTCAACAACGGCCAAGATGCGCTTAATGTGCTCCGCATCATGATTAATGACAATGAGCATCACCAAGCTACCTCAGATGCTGGTGAACTCGAATCTCAACCCCCATTGCATCGTGGCTCCGTAACATTTCCAACAGATGCTAGTGAAATGCCGCAAATCCGCGAAAATGTGCGGGCTACTTTATCACCACTGCCCGTAACGCATGTCAGACGATCCAGCATAAGTGATGTGTCCGGTCGGTCTAGCAATGAAGTCAACAGAAAGAGCTGGGATGTGCGACGAAGCGAGGATGTCACCCACGCACTTCGTCGTTCAAGCTATGAGACACGTCAATCTCCTCATGAGCCACAACAAAGCTTCGGTGGGGACCAGCATAGCACGCAACACAAGCATCATTCGGAAGACGATTCACCTCAGTCCCCCAGAGCAGCAGACTCCGAGTCGGCTACGCTCTCGTTCGAACCAGGCACCGAATCTTCCGCCGCAATCCAATCGATCGATGAAAGCAATGCTTCCGCATCTCAAATACTCGACCGCTCCGATCTTTTCCGTGGACCCACAAACCTACCCGTTGACAATGCACCGCTGAGCAAACTTGATCTCCAACATAGGGACTCACAGGAAACAACACGTTCAGCTCAAGCGAAGACTACAAATATCGCAAAACGTTCCAAACAGTCTGCACCCGTAACCGGTACGCCAGACTTTGAAGATGACACGGACGCTAGCCAAGCAAATCCTCGCATGTCAGGATCATCTTCAGCATTGCAGGACATCGCCTCCTACCCACTCCAGAAAGCGTCGGGATTAGCTGGATTCTTGAGGACTCGATCGAAGAAGATGGGTAATCTGTTAGCAAGCGAGTCGATGGGCTACTATGAAAAAGTATCGGGCATGCTTGCGGGTGGACGAAAGCACTACAACACCGCAGAAGGTTTGGAGACTGGGGATCAAATTCATGGATTCGAGGACGATGAGGACGCAGCCAAGGCTGTAGAGAATTTCCGCGACCATTTCGCCTTTCCCGAAACCGAAATCTTGCAATCTTCATTCTTCGCATCCTTGCAGCGAGTGTTGCCAAACTATGGCAAAATCTACATCAGCGGGAGATATTTTTGTTTCCGCAGTTTGATGCCAACGTCAAAGACCAAGGTCATACTCCCTATGCGAGACATCGAAAACGTCAACAAAGAAAAAGGATTCCGAATCGGTTATCACGGTCTCGCTGTTGTCATCAAAGGTCACGAAGAGCTCTTTTTCGAATTCTCAAAGGCCGAGTATCGGGACGAGTGTGCTATCACAGTGCTTCGTATATTGGAGAATACTAAGTACCTCGAGGATGAGGATTCGTCTTCTTCGGGCGTGGATAGTGGAGACGAGGCGGCCAAAGCAGAACATGACTTGCTCCAGCAGGCACGCGAGCACACGGATACTGGCAAGCAAGCTGATGTATCGGAGATCGTCCGTGCTGCGGACCACGACCGAATACCCCTCATATTCGACGACCCACTCGCTTCGTTTGTGGACTTCAAACCTTCAGAGCCGTTGAACATTGTTTGCCTTACCATTGGATCCCGAGGAGATGTGCAGCCGTACATAGCATTATGCAAAGAACTCCTGAAGGAGGGTCATAAGCCGCGCATTGCGACACACGCCGAGTTTGAGCCTTGGGTACGCAAACACGGCATCGACTTTGCCGTTGTTGATGGAAACCCAGCCGAGCTGATGCGCATCTGTGTCGAACATGGCATGTTTACGTATGGGTTCATGAAGGAGGCCAATTCCAAGTTCCGTGGATGGCTGGATGACGTCTGTAGTTCTTCGTGGAGGGCTTGCCAGGGTGCAGATGTACTCATTGAGAGTCCTAGCACCATGGCGGGAATTCACATAGCTGAAGCGTTGGAGATTCCTTACTTTCGGGCTTTCACGATGCCTTGGACACGCACTCGAGCCTATCCCCATGCCTTTTCTGTGCTGGAGAAGAAGATGGGTGGAGGATACAACAGTCTGACATATATCACCTTCGATACTATATTCTGGACTGCCATTTCGGGTCAGATCAACAAATGGCGTCGGCGAGAATTGGGTCTTCAAGGAACCACGCAGCATAAGATGCAGGCGAGTCTCCGACCATTCCTGTACAACTTCAGTCCCCATGTGGTCCCACCGCCCCTCGACTGGCCGGATTGGGTCCGTGTCACTGGTTATTGGTTTCTGGATGAGAGCGACTCATACGACCCTCCTGCCGAATTGTTGGCGTTCATGGAGAAGGCACGCGCAGACGGCAAGAAGCTGGTCTATGTTGGGTTTGGCTCCATTGTCATCGACGATCCCGCAGCGCTTACTAGGACCGTCGTAGACTCTGTATTGAAGGCAGACGTACGCTGCGTGCTATCCAAAGGCTGGTCTGATCGTTTGGAGACCAAAGATGCTTCAAAGCCGGAGATTCCGCTTCCACCCGAGATCTTTCAGATTCAGGCCGCACCGCACGACTGGTTGTTCAAACAGATGGACGCTGCAGTGCACCATGGTGGCTCCGGCACTACAGGAGCAAGCTTGCGAGCTGGAATTCCTACAATCATTAAGCCTTTCTTTGGCGATCAATTTTTCTTTGCGCAGCGCGTGGAAGACATGGGTGTTGGAGTATGGCTGAAGAAGGTCAATACGAGTGTTTTCAGTCGTGCGCTATGGGAAGTCACCAACAGCCAGCGCATGATCATGAAGGCAAAAGTACTCGGACAGAAGATTAGAAAGGTGAGCATAGGCAAAAGCGAGAGGTTGCAGGTACCATGGCTAACCCGTCGTAGGACAATGGCACACTGGTTGCGATCCAGACCATATACCGAGAACTAGATCGTGCTCGCACGCTCATCAAGAAGCAGACGAAACAGGACGACGACAACAGTGAGGAGTTTGAAGAGGACTGGACAATCATTGAAGAAGGTGAGGAGATGGATGGAGCTCATCCCTTTGCGATGCAGCAGCCATTGGCGGGGATCAACCAGGACGCATCTCAGATGGGTGCTGGCTCTTTGGTTCTGGGCAGCATGGTGCTGAAGGGCGCAGCTGCGCAGAAGCAGGCACCACCAGAAGTTGCGCGTCGGGATTGAGTCTTGTCGGACTCTGGATGAGGACGCTGGTAGGCGTTGGGAGGGCATGGGCCCTGGATGGATGTAGTAGTAGTAATAATGTAGGAGTGAGGGTTAGGGTACTACTATATTATATGAGTGCGGCCCATCTGGAGTGTCTCGCAACATGCCTGGTATTGCATTTACTAAATGAGCCTTGTCTCTTCAAGCCAAACCAAAGGCAAGCTCTGTTGGCTGCCACATGATATGGATGCAGTGGCTGTGTCTTGTTCGCACAGCACCGTGGTCGCGAGGGATGATCGGCGGGTCTTGGCAATGTCGCTGTCTTCGTAGTCACTACTGTGTAAGAACGTGGGCTTCCACGCGGCCGTGTAGGCAACAGCTCTGTCGACGATGCATTGGTGTGTTCTTCTCTGCCTCATTTGCTCACCATGCCCGAATTGGAGCATTGCTGTAGTCGGACAGCGGGGCATGTGGCCGACGGGCAGGGAGCCCCGAGGGCTGTCCTTTGTCCGTTGGGTTTGATGTTTGAGCGGACGTGCGAGCAAGGTGCACGCTAGCCCTGTGGCTGCAAAGGTATAAAGCTGCCCCTCGCTCCAAATTATTTGGGGGGGAAATCGGAAATCGGCCAGCCGCGACGCCATACGTCAATCCCCGGTCGCACACCCAACACGCCCACTTTCGCACCCAGCCCATTCCCGTATCGCGCTGCACACTGGCCAGAATCCTCGACTCGCTCCATTACGCAATCGAGCGCCTTTCCCCATCCAACACGTTGCTCGCATCCCCAACACCCTTGCGACGACGCGCGAGCGGCCTTCCGACTGCTCTGCCGCGTCGGTACCGGATGCGCCAACTAGAAGAACGACGCGACCGCCACCACTATCACGTCGTCAGTCGCATGGGCTGCCCCGGCTCGGCATGAAGATCCTTTCGCCCCGGGATTTGAACTATCCCATCACCGTCATCGACCTGTTGAAGAAGCGCGACGCCGAGGTGCCACGGTCCGAGAAGCTCTTCACCTACAGCTATGAGAGCCGCGTCGTCGAGGGCGACAAGTGGGGAGGGGAGCGGACGGTGATGAAGAAGTTTAGGCAAACCTTTGATGCGAGCACCGAAGGAAAGATCACGCGATGGTTCGTCAAGCCAGGCACTGTAATCGACCGATCTGGGTGAGTCTGCTTTGTTGTCGCAAGACAAGCCCTGGAGGCTAAACGTGCCCCTAGGATCCCATTGCTCGAGATCGAAGAGCCATGCACACATGAGACCCAGTTTGGCGGCCTCTGCGTCGATTGCGGCAGAGACATGACCCAGGTCGACTATCTGACCAAAGAGCGTGACGTCGACCGCGCAACCGTTAACATGGCCCATGACAACACCGCGCTCCTCGTCAGCCACAAGGAAGCCGTAGCCGCTGAGGAGGATGCCAAAAGGCGCCTCCTGAATGCGCGAAAGCTGACCCTCATTGTAGATCTCGACCAGACCGTCATCCACACCACCTGCGAACGAACAATTGCCGAGTGGCAGGCGGACCCTGAGAACCCAAACCACGACGCTGTCAAGGATGTGCAGGGCTTTCAACTCGCCGATGATAATGTATCCAACGTGGCTGCAAATTGGTACTACGTCAAGATGCGTCCAGGACTCAAGGACTTCTTCGATCGGGTTTCTAAACTCTACGAAATGCATGTTTACACCATGGCTACCCGAGCATATGCGCAAGCAGTTGCGAAAATCATTGATCCCGAGCGCAAATACTTTGGTGACCGCATCCTCAGCCGCGACGAAAACTACACAGACAAGCTGAAGAGCCTAACCCGACTCTTCTACCAGAACACGGCCATGTGTGTCATCATTGATGATAGAGCAGACGTCTGGCAATACAGTCCCCATCTTGTCCGTGTACCTGTCTTCAACTTCTTCCCTGGTGCTGGAGACATCAACGCAAGCTTTCTGCCTAAACAACAAGAACTGGTGTCGTTTACCAAGGATAAGTTGTCTTCAACGCCGAAGAAATCAGCAGCCGATGCCGAGACCAACAAAGCTATTGCGGTTGTAGGCAAACCTAGCGAAGGCGGTTCAGCTGGAGCTGCAAATGGCGATCTGAATGAACTAGGGCAGCAACTTATAACTCTCGCGGCAACGGAAGACTTGGAAGTGCAAGCCAAAGAACAGGAGAAGGTCATCATTGCACAACAGACTGAACGGCCACTATTGCAGCAGCAACTTATGCAAGATAAAGAGGATGACGAGGCGGAAGATGCAGACGGCCCCCTTGAAGTAGAAAACGGTAATATGCAACATGTGGAACACCACAAAGTCCGACACAGCATCCTCAACGACAACGACAGGGGCCTGGATATCATTGAGAAGAATCTGATTCGCGTGCACCAGACGTTTTACGACGAGTACAGGAAGGCTAAGAAGGTGCCTGCGGGCGGTCGTGTTGCAGAGCTGAAAGGCGAAAAGAGTCCCAAGAAACGAGCCGTGGACGATGTCATCCCTGATGTTGCAGAGATCATGCCACGCATCAAGAGTGAGGTGCTCGATGGGGCTGTGGTTGTGTTTTCGGGTATCATACCTCTTGGCGTGGACGTGTTGTCGTAAGTTTGTTCAGAAGCTGGCAGTAGCGCGCAACTAACAATGACCTAGATCAGACTTTGCACTGTGGATCTCGAGCTTCGGTGCAGAGGTTACTACCAGTGTCAATCGGCGGACAACCCATGTCATTGCCAACCCTGATCGAAAAACTACCAAAGTCAAGCGAGCTGCTCGTTATCCTCACATCAAGATTGTAAACCCTGAATGGATGTTTCAGTGTTGCACCAGGTGGGAGCATGTGGATGAGATGCCCTACCTGATCGAAATCGATGCTGCCGACCGTGGTGGATCGCCAGTTCCGGATCTCGAGGACGAGAGCATTAATGGAACTGGTGACGAAGAGGCGGACGAGGCATCTCACTCACCGATAGTAGAGATGTCCGATGAGGCATGGGCTGCGCTGGATGATGAATTGGCAGAGTTCATGGATGAGACAGACACGGATGGCGGCAGTGAATCGGACACGGATAGTGTTCGGTCAGAGAACAGCACAATATCGGATGCAAAGCAGACCAAAAAGAAGCGAAAGCGCACCGACTCAACAGAGGCAAGCGAGCCGGAGGAGAGCGATGCTAGTGTTACTAGTACATCTCGACTGCAACGGCGGAAGAAACGGACCATGGAGCGCGTGACGTCCATGACCAACGTTGTTAGTGCGGAGAAGTCGTCTGGTCTACCCAGTCCTGAAACTACCGGGCCGGAAGAAGAGCAAGGCGAAGACGAGGACAAGATGGCTGAAGCGAATGGAGTTGCGCCAGACCTGGATGAGGATTATGACGATGGGCTTGAAGCAGAGCTATTGGCAGGCTTTGGTGATAGTGACGGAGAAGAATGAGGGAGACGTGTATATTGAAAGCGAAAGTGAAAGCGAAGAGATCTCTTGGGGGCTTTGTCCCGTCCATGGTCTCACCTGCATAGCGAGGTGTCTGGCATCTGGCGTTGAACATCTTGGGCATTTTCTTGGGGATACCTTACAATTGAACGTATGATTTTTTTGAGCTTGGCAGAGGACAGTCTGGCTGTATCGACCACGGGTGTGTGTACTTGTTCAAACGGGTACAAGATGGTGCTTGTGTGTAAGACTCGGATGTGTTGAAGGCGGACGTGCTCCGCCTGATGGAGCAGTCCAAGTACGGCATCCAATGGTAGCCAGGCAGGCCACTCCACTTACCCCAGCATGTCGGCTACTGTGTACTTACTTACTCTATGCTAGCGCCCTTTTGTTCTGCCCGTGTGGACCCTGGTTCTCCCTCGGCCCAGCCAGCGGTGGGGGGCGCTCGTCATGGCGGGACAGGTGAAGTGAGGCTGAGGGTTGGTTGCTTTGGCGGGCGCAGGCAAGCCGTGGAGAAGCCCCAGAAGCCCCCGCCCCCTACTCTGCTCTTGCCTGTCCACTTCAGCCTCATCAGCAACCCGCCGTGTGCAGCGCCGGGTAGCAGGCAGCAGGCAGCAGCGCTGACAAACATAACTCCAGCACACATTCTTCGCCCATCACAAGACGCCCACAGCAATCACCCGCACCACCAAAACCATCACACTCGGCCTCTTGCTCCCGGCCGAGATTAAATTCTCCGGCAGGCGAGCGGCTCTTGTCGCACAGCACACAAGATGGCGTCCCGGCTGGCTTTCATGGACTTGTCTGTCGACTTGAAGACGCTCGTCATTCAGCACGCAAGTATCGCGTAGCCTTTGTGTGGCTGCTATAGCTGACCCTCATATCGTAGATCAATCGCCCGACCGACCTCAAGAATCTATGTCTCACATGCAAGCAGTTGCATGAGATTGCTGCCCGCCAGCTCTACTACGAAGTCACTCTCGACGTCGGCTCGCCCAACGATACGCGCCTCGCAGCCTTCCTCAACCCTAGGAACATCGGCCTACAACATGTGCGCAAGCTTGACCTCTACCTTGCCGATGTGCTAGACAAATGCAACCAACAACAGCAAGCCAACTTTGCCATTCGCATGATTTTGGAACTGCTGCCAGAGAATCAGTTGGACAAGTTCTCCTGGCATCCCTGGTCACCCTTTTCTGGCGACAACCTGGTCTTGCTGTATCGAAAGCAGAAGCGCATGAAGTGGCTCGAGGGCATTTCTCTGGACCGCAATGTCTTGGAGGAGCTGCAAAAATTGCCCAATATTGACAGGTGCTTTGACAACGTGCGCAAAATTGGCCTTTACCCCGACTCACGAGAGGTTCTGGAATTTTGTCACTTTCTACTCAAGAATACGGCCAAACGCACACTTGACAAGATCACGTTACATGCCAGCTTTGATGAGCTGGATTCGTCCATTAACACGCGCGAGTTGAACGACACCGTCAATGAGCCTGGTCTAATCACCTCAACCATGTTCAGCCACATGCAGCCTTTCGCAAAGTGCAGACCCATGGCACTCAAAGAGATTACGTTACAAAAGCTACATCTGCGGTACGCGGCAGGGACATACTGCAAACTAATCGACTTCCAAACGATTAAAAGCATCCGTGTGTTTGGCTGCTCGGGCGCCGACGCCCTGTTGGCCGAACTGAGCAAAAGCACGAAGCTTCCCGACAAACTCGAGACACTGGAACTCAAGCACGACGACAACACGGAAAATGATGGGTTGGGTGCCATTGACGGGTTTCTTTGCCTAGTATCTGGGATCAAGACGTTGACACTGGACCTCACGTACGTCAAGGCGCTGCCAGCTGCTGCGGGCATTGTGCGCCATGGCAAGACGTTGAAGAGCCTGAACGTGCATGGTAGCACGGGCCCCGAGAGCTGTGACGAGGAGCTCGTGTACGACTATTCATCCTTCTCGCAGATATGCAAGGACTGCACTTTGCTAGAGCAGATTTCAGTAGCGTTCCCTGCCGTGAGCGTGGTTCGAAGCAAGAACGATAGCTTTGTCAACTTTGAAAACTGCCTGGGTGACCTTTGCCATCTGGCCACACTGAACATTACGACGTGGCCGACCAACAGTCCTTCGTCGAGCAAACTGCCGCGCAAGATCTATGAGCATCTCCTTGCCGGGCTGGCGCAGCAGGGGTTTGAGCGCAGTTCGGACCATGCCAAGGAGCAAGGGCGCTCGTCCAAACTCGGACTTATTGCTTTTGGCTCGTCAGACAAGGTCTACGACCGCGAGGATAGTCAGAACCAAATCAGTAAGTAGCCGGGCCGAGGCATACGGGACAGTTGCTAACGGCGTGCGTGTAGTCTTTGTCAAGGGGCGGCAGATTGATCCGCTGGGCAAGGAGACATCGACGGCTGTGCAGATTGGGTGGTGTCTGCGCAAGTATGTTGATGCTGGGGACAAATCGGACGTGCTTGATTTTTCGCTTACGCGAAGCACACGTCCGCCGACACGTAGCTCAGCGGACAGCGACGACAGCGACTGACAGACGCGAACAGGCGAGGAGCCGGAGTGGGATCTGGCCGGCATGGGTCTGGACGTGGTGGATGTGTGGTAGGAAGGGTCGGAGTGGGGACGGTGGAGGCAGGATGTCGTAGCAGTAGTAGTATGCACTTCTGGCCAAGCAGGGGATTGTATTGGCCATGACGTGCGTGGTGTCCGGACGCAATGGGACGAACATGTGTTCACACAATGCCGGAGGATTTTGCTGGCTTCGGATCGACGTCGCTTGGGGATGGTGCAGTGCAAGTGCATGTGCATGCACATGGATGGCCGCCCACGCCAGGCCTTCTCTCTCGCTCGCCCCTCTGGCTGCCTCGGCTGTCTCCGCGTGTGGTCGGACCGCGACGTCAATCTCACCTACGTGTGCAGTCGCAGGCCGGTCCAGTCTTGTTTCTGCTCTTCGCCGCCCGTCCGTGTCTGGCTGCGCAATGCGACGAGTCCACGAGGGCCACCGTAGTACAGCCTGCCCCAGCTCCTGCGCCTGCGTCTGCTCCGGCTCCTCGCTGCACCCCACAACGCCTCTGTCGCTGTCCCGAAGCTGACGCGACGTCGCCTCGCCTCCTTCCTGCGCGGCGGGAGATATTCGGAATCATGAAATCCCCAGACTCGCCCCAGTACCTGCCACCCCAGGACCCGCACTACACCTATTCCCCCGCCCACGCCCTCGATGTCACCCAGCCAGCACCGCCAGCCCAGCCGGTCCAGCCAGCGCCGTCTGTCCGTCTGCCCTACCCCCACGATGCCGCCTTTCCCAAGCTCGAGAACATCAACGAGGTGCTCCAGGCCCAGCAGGCCCAGCAGGCCCAGCAGGCCCTCCACGCAAACCATGTGCTGAATGCGCCTCAACCCCAGGCCCACGCCCCACAGTCCAAGCCAAACAGACTGCGCAAGGCCTGCGATTCTTGCAGCATCCGCAAGGTCAAGGTATGCCACGCCTCGCGCCCACGCGCCCCGTACCTGTACCTGTACGGGGTCCACACATCTTGTTGCTGACTCGCGCCCTCTGCTCCAGTGCGATGAATCAGGCCCGCCCTGTAGGGCCTGTGTAGCCCTTGAAATCCCATGCACATTCGATCGCCCCAGCCGACGACGCGGACCTCCCAATAGACATGCCGAAGCCATCAAGCGGCGGCGCGTTGCCGGCATTGACTCGGAAGGGTCAGCGCCCGAATCTCCCACCAGTGCCGCCCACGCCTTGGCCCAGCTCCAGTCCTCCCAGCTCCAACCCTCGCAGCCAGCCCAGCTCTCTGCCGAGGAGATATGCGCCCTCCCGACCCTCAACGCCCTCATTGACGACTTCTTTACCTATATACATCCACTATGTCCCTTTCCGCACGAGCCCTCGTTTCGTGAAGCATGGGGCCGCAGAGAGGACTTGACCAATCCCTCCTTCCTCGCCCTGCTGGCCTCCATGATCGCTACCTTGGTCGCCTCTTTTCCCCGGAAACCGCGCTTGCACCTCAACTCACAGACGCGCCACGAATACCCAAATCATCTTGCCCTGGTTGACAAGTGCCGAGACGTTTGCGCCCGCGCGCGGGGCCCTGGCTACCTCGATCGTCCTTCTCTGAGTGTGTACGATGCTTGTACAAGCTATTTCCTTGGCTTGACTGGAGCCTATGTCTTCCAATGGCGGCCGCTACGTCTGTACATGGCCGAATGCCTGACCATCATACGCGGCTTGGGCCTCCATAAACCCGAACTCCAGGGCTATACTTACCTCGGCGGTGTACCCAATGCCTGGGGCTCCAGTGGTCCCAACTACGATGGATCGAGGGAGGCCAAAGTCGACTACATCACAGAAGAGATCGGCCGTCGTGTTTTCTGGACTGTCTTTGTTGGTGTGCGGTGGGTCACGCCCTACCTCTAGCCTCAACAATTGCTAATTTCAATCAGGACCATACAGCAATTGGGCGCATCTTTTGGAGAGCTTGTGATTGCGCCTGCAACGCCCAGCGAGCCTCTACCTCCTCTACCGCGAGAAGTAGATGATGTGCACATCTTTCCCCATGAAATCCAGCCACAGCAAGACGGTGTCGTTTCAATGCTCACTGGCTTCAACATTAACGTGCGCATTTATCTTTCATATTCTTCACTCGCTACAGCCGAGATGGCTTTTGGTATTGATGAGATATTCGATTGGGACCGACAACAGCGTGTTTTGCAGCAAAGCTTGCAGCGTTGTAGGCAGACTTTGCAAAATATACCAGAGGTTCTGAAGGTTCGTCCCAAGATTGGAAAAGATAGCGAGGTTGAGCCACAGAAATCGTATCAACCGCCCGTAACCGAGTACGCAGGCATGCGAGATCCTGCAATAGATGATTACCAGAAGCCAGATGCTCCAGATTCACGACGCTATGAGATACAGAAAGCGAATATTTACGCTAGCCATTTGGCCACCCGCTCCCACTTGGTTGAGAAGTATTTTCTACAACTAGAAAAGTATCGAAGAACAAAAGCCCAAGCGAATCTGCAGAGCTCTACCAATGCGATTGCGGCAGGAATCGACAAGTTCGTATCTGACACAACAACTGACCCTGAAGCTCTCGAAAAGATAATGTCCGAAGAGCGCGAACAGGTGGTCAAAGACCTCTTGGTGGTACTAAGCAACATCGACATGGTTAACATGGAGCCTAATGGTGACTCTTTTGTAAGTCTACACATTTACTTGCAAGACTTAGGTCTCCTCCATGAAGCCGGATACTTAGTGATGTCCTCCCCCCTTGCGTTTTTTTTGTTTGCCTTGAACACTGTTATTCTATTCGTAAGCTTACGAGTCCTTCCAACACAGATACAAAAAATTCGATCCATTGCCAGTACGCTGCTGGACGTACCTAAAGAAAGAAAAGGTAGTGTAGCGCAGCAGCATCAAGATTACCTGTACAAATTCCTAGATATACTAAGCAAACTGGAGAGGGTAAGCCCAGAAGTCAGTGATCTCAATGGCAGCAGCTTTGACGAAGAAAGCGAGTTGCGGTTGTGGGCAGATTTGAGGGACCATCAATTGAGATTCCAAGAGCATGGGGGCGTTTATGGCTTTTGATTAAGCGACAGCTAGGTTGGATTCTGAGCTGAGTAAAGACCAATCTTGTTCAAGATATACATTACACGAAAGCCTGTCCCTCATGATGTTCCACCAGCCACATTTGAGGCAACGCCCGCAACCAGCCTTTCAACGAGGGCCTCATTCAACAAAGACATTGCTTTTCCCGTTCATCGTGAGCAAGTCATCGCTGTAAACTGGCTTTGAACGCAATCATGATGTTAGAGGTTTATATAGTATACTAGATAATATGGAATTTCTCTCAACGTAGAACCACCTTTCACGTGTAGGTTGGTTCGTATTGCAGGCCCCTTCTCTTAGTTCTAGTCATGTTGAGCGATGTTTGGAGAAGTCATGTTCCCACCTCTGCAAATTTCAAATATCTATACATACAATGCCGTTTCCAGTAGTGACCCAGTTTCCAAAGGTGCATGTGCCATGCCCAAGCTCCATCATCCGATTTTTGTCTTGCGCAATAGACAAACATTTGATCTGGATGCTCTCGCCACGTCTCATATGCTGTACTTCTAAGCCCCTCTTCGAAATGATTCGAGCACAAAAGCAACGAAAATCCGAAACTCTGTCCATCAGCCTATGGCACGACAACTACACCCAAGCTTCCAGCCTGTCCTACGATACTCCTCGCAATCCCTTCGAGACTCAACCCGCTTAATCGTGTCTCACTGTGCTTGATCTTGGCAATCTCATACACATGCTTTAGGCTGACGGTACCCACGGTACCCTTGACTGCATTTCCCGCCGTTGGACTACTCGTGGATGTTTTTCCCTTTTGTCCTTCGTGGTTGTTCATTGGCCCGGGAACGTTTCCTGCACCCCGTATCTTGTTCTTGGTTGGTAGTACACCCGCCGCACTTAGGAGGAGGGTCGCAGTGGGTGGTGTGCGAAGCTGAAAGTGGAATGAGCGATCGGGCCGGACTGTGATGCGCGCAGGTATAGGTGTGCCCGCTGTATAGTGTGCTGTTCTTGCATTGAACTCCTGAGATCAGACTGTCAACTGGATTCTCTTGCGACAATCGGTCGAGGTAAAGATCCTCGTGTGACATACTTTGCAAAAATCCATGCTCTTTACACCTTTACTTCCCAGCGCCGGTCCTACAGGTGGTGAGGGCGACGCTTGGCCTGCGCCTACAATCAATTTGACAATCTGATCTTTTGCTATTGCTTTTCGCGCCATGATGTGAGGATGTACAATGTGGTGGCGGTGGTGGGTGCGTTTGGGGAATTTGCGGAGAGGCTCGGAGGTGCCGGTCACAGGGTTTTCTGCCCCAGTTTCAATTCATTTTCTTTTCGCTCAATCAATCTATTTTGACCTTTTTTATTGGAATATCTTCATTTCACTGGATGATTGGACTGTTCACAATGGATAAATTGACTTTGCGTAGGATGATGTGGGTGCCTATTATTGCACGTGACAGCGTGAATACGCTAATTAGGGACGCGATGCTAGTCCGCCACCTTGGAGCACCTTGCAACACTTCCACACTATTCTTTCAAACTTCACCACGTCGTCCAAAACGCCCCATAAAGCCCTGCTGGGTTCTCCAGTGTTGTAATTCATCATGCATCGGCCGAAAACACTTGCAACCGGCGAGGCCACGCCTTTGAAGCCTGCAGCGCGTCTCTATGGTGGCACTCCGCAGTCGACTGAGCGTCTAATCAAGCCATTTCGATGTCCAGGCTCAGCAACAGTGTCGCGAGTGTCAGAAAAACCAGCGAGGAAGAGGCGGAAAGTCGATTACTCTGGCGCTGGTGGTGAGGATGGGGAAAGTGATAAACCATACTCCAACGAGGATCGATTAGCCCTCGCCACACGAGACGCGAACCGATTTCCAGTGTTCAAACCCAAAGACAAAGAGACTGCATTCAGGGCGAAATTTATTGTGCCTCTGGTCAATAAGGACACTGGAGCATACAACCCTAATCGGCCAGCGCCCCTACTGGGTATGCGAACTGGAACTGTCTTCGTTGCACGACCACTGCATGATCCCAGTGGAGAATTTGCAATTGTACTATACGACCCAACTGTTGATGACAAGACGGAGCCGAAACAAGAGCCTGAGCCCAAGGAAAGTCAGACCGAGAAGAAGGAGCTAGATGCCCCACTGGTTCATAAGAGTTTGGCGGAGATACTGGGTTTGAAGAAGAAGGTAGACAACGAGCGACCACGTGTACCAGTCGTGATAGATCCAAGGCTTGCCAAGGTTCTGCGACCCCATCAGGTTGAAGGAGTGAAGTTTCTGTACCGAGCCACAACTGGTATGATTGATCCAAAGGCGAACGGCTGTATCATGGCCGACGAGATGGGTCTCGGCAAGACATTGCAGTGTATCACGCTGATGTGGACGCTGTTGAAACAATCACCTGAAGCTGGTAAATCCACAATACAGAAATGTGTTATTGCATGTCCCTCAAGTTTAGTAAGAAACTGGGCAAACGAGCTGGTCAAATGGCTGGGGAAAGACGCTGTCACCCCTTTCGCTATCGACGGAAAAGCGTCGAAAGAAGAACTGATTCAACAAATACGACAATGGTCAATCGCATCTGGACGCGCAGTTGTTCGGCCTGTGTTGATTGTGTCTTATGAAACACTGCGACTTTACGTTGACGAGTTTGGACAAACACCAATTGGATTGATGCTTTGCGATGAAGGCCATCGACTAAAGAATGGAGACAGCTTGACTTTCACAGCCCTGAACAGCTTGAACGTACAGCGACGTGTCATTCTCTCCGGTACGCCCATCCAGAACGATCTTTCAGAGTATTTTGCACTGCTCAATTTCGCGAACCCTGGTTACCTTGGTACACGAATGGAATTCCGCAAGCAGTTTGAAATACCCATTTTGAAGGGTCGCGATGCCAATGGGACAGACGCGGACATACAGAAGGGCAACGAGCGGCTCACGGAGCTACTGGGCCTGGTCAACAAGTTCATCATCAGACGAACTAACGACATTCTCTCCAAATACTTACCGGTCAAATATGAGCACGTCGTGTTCTGCAATCTTGCACCATTTCAAAAGGACCTATACAACCATTTCATCAAGTCACCAGACGTTCAAAGCTTGTTACGCGGCAAAGGTTCGCAGCCTCTCAAGGTCATTGGCATGCTCAAGAAGCTGTGCAACCACCCTGACCTGCTCAATCTACCCGAAGACTTGCCAGGATGTGAAGACAAATTACCCGAAGATTTTGTGCAAAAGGACGCACGAGGTCGAGACCGGGAGGTTAAGGTGTGGTACTCTGGAAAGATGGCCGTCCTTGACCGTATGCTTGCGCGCATCCGCGCCGAAACAAACGACAAGATCGTTTTGATTTCCAACTACACTCAGACGCTCGACATTTTTGCCATGCTTTGCCGATCACGTGGATATGGCTGTTTCCGCCTAGATGGCACAATGAACGTTAGCAAACGACAAAAACTGGTTGACAAGTTCAATGACCCGGAAAGCCCTGAGTTTGTCTTCCTTCTTTCCTCCAAGGCTGGTGGATGTGGTCTCAATCTTATTGGCGCTAACCGACTTGTCCTTTTCGATCCGGACTGGAATCCAGCTGCCGATCAGCAAGCGCTTGCTCGTGTGTGGCGTGATGGCCAGAAAAAGGACTGCTTCGTGTACCGCTTCATCACCACCGGTACCATTGAAGAGAAGGTCTTCCAGCGACAATCTCACAAGCAGTCGCTCTCGTCTTGTGTTGTTGACTCTGCAGAGGATGTAGAGCGGCATTTCAGTCTTGACTCACTTCGTGAGCTTTTCCAATACCGTGACAATACGACTAGTGATACCCACGACACATTCAAATGCAAGCGATGCCGGAAAGAGGACGGCAAGCAAATCATCAAGGCTCCGGCTATGTTGTATGGTGATACGAGTACTTGGAATCATTTTGTTAATGATGGGGAGACGGGCGCACTTGGCAAGATCCAGGATTTGCTGCTTAGACAGGAGACGGCGAATGACTTGAAGGACGTCAGTGCTGTATTCCAGTATATAAGTCATTAAGAATCAGGGCTGGGGAGTTGTTTGGAACAGCAGGGGTCTTGCTATGGATCATTTGTATATGTTCTTGTGTTCATAGCGTTCATGAAGTATGACATCGCGAACAGCGTTTTGATGAGCGGGGCATGAAGAAAAGAGCGAATTCATCACTTGAAGAAGACGACCATAATGGTGTTTACAATGGCCAGCAATGCGCCTCTTGATAGCTTTCGTTGTTTGCATCTGTCTGGCGTCTAGCGTATCAGTCTAACTTTCTTAGCAAAGATAGCAAGCTGCACCTGGACCTGCCGGGATTGGGTATTGAAAAGAAGAATGGCGTTAGAGTACAGATCTTAGCAAGGAGCTCTACTTCAACCCCTTAAAAAATTGGGTTAGTAATACTCGTAATTCCACCAGAGGTGAATGCCTATAGGCGCGATAACAAGGTTAACAGTGGTTGTAATGAAGGCAACAGAACAGCAAACTGCAGTTGCGATGAGTAAAGATAGTAGTAGCATACTAGTAGTAGCGAACTACGGTTGCTATAAAGGTAGCAGAACAGCGAACTGTAGTTGCAACAAGGACGCTGGTCAGCAGCGCGCCGATGCCTAGAAATTCGCCATTTCGTCAATCTGTCTCTCCCATCTCATCACAAGCTGTCTTATTAAGAGCGTTTCTAGCATGCAGTCCAAATCCGGTCATGAGAACGCAAAACGCTCAACTGAACAGGCCCTTACTAGCGTGACTCGGCTTCCGCTGTTCTCCCGCCACTTGGTCCAAGCTTCAACATTTTGTAGAGAGCTTCCTGCTTCGTTCGCTGTTCATTCCCCCCTTACGAACAAGCACATATACGCCAATCACCCACCATGGATCCAAAACGCCGCAAGACCGGCGATCAAGATGTCAGTGCGCTTCGCCTCGCGTCGCGACAAAAGTACCTTGCCGAACGAGAGGCGCAACAGCTCGCCATCCTCCGTCACCAAGTCGCCGAAGAAGCAGAGGAGGAAGAGAGACTAGGATCCAGGCTATCAGAAAGGGAACGCAAAGAGTTTGCAAAGAATAGAGAGACTCTGAGGTTGGCCGAGGAAAGGAACAAAATTGACGAGCACCGCGATGGGTTCATGATCCCCGATGCCGACTTCTCGAACAAGGCCGAAGTGCTCAACCGTCGTGATGACGCGAGCCACTTCAAGTCGGAATACCAGCAGTGGGAGGAAGACCAGATGAACAAGATCAAAAGTCAGACCAAGAAAGCCGAGCGCGTACAGGAGGACGACTACGAATTCGTTTTCGATACTTCAAATCAGATTCAGTTCCAACAAGACATTTCGAGTCGCATCGATCCCGCTAAACAGGCTCTCCAAGCCCAACTCGACTCGGCGGAAAAGCGGGCCAAGACTATTGATGAGGTTCGCAAAAGTCTACCTGTTTTTAAGTACCGCGAGGAAATACTCGATGCCGTCTCCAAGTATCAAACACTTGTTGTAGTCGGTGACACTGGATCAGGAAAGACGACGCAAATTCCTCAATTCGCGGCCGAGGCTGGCTACACAAAGACTGGATCGATTGCAATCACGCAGCCCAGACGAGTAGCAGCTATGAGTGTGGCTAAGCGTGTTGCAGAAGAGTATGGATGCAAGCTAGGTCACGAAGTTGGCTACAGTGTCCGTTTTGATGACAAGACAAGCGACAAGACCATTGTCAAGTTCGCTACAGATGGTGTACTTCTACGCGAGGCTATGACCGATCCCTTATTGTCAAACTACTCTGTGGTGATGATCGACGAGGCACATGAGAGATCAATCGCCTCGGATCTCCTGCTCTGCCTGTGTCGTGAAGTTTGCCGTGCCAGGCCAGAGTTCAAGTTGCTGGTCCTTTCTGCCACGATCAACGCCTCCAAATTCTCAAAGTATTTCGACGATGCACCTACGTTTTATGTCGAAGGCAGGACCTTTCCGATTAATATTCTCTACACGAGCGCTCCAGAAGCCAACTACCTTAGCGCCGGTATCACGTCTGCTCTCCAAATTCACTTAGCTGCAGAGCTTCCGGGAGACATCCTCATGTTTCTTACCGGAGAGGAAGAGATCCAAGCTGCCGTGGAGAACATAGAAACAACCATGAAGAAGTTGGGCGGGCGGGCTAAAGAACTGATTGTTTGTCCGCTGTACAGTGCGCTTCCGCCAGATGCACAAGCTAAGGTCTTTGAGCCTACGCCACCCAATGCTAGAAAGCTGGTCATTTCTACCGACATCGCTGAGACATCGCTAACTATAGACGGCATTCGCCATGTCATTGACTCGGGCTATAGCAAGCAGAGTAATTACATATCGTCAAATGGCATCAGCTCGCTGATTGTTAGCCCCATTTCTCGTGCAAGTGCCAACCAGCGGGCTGGACGTGCTGGACGCACAAGCGAGGGATATTGCTACCGCCTATATACAAAACACGCCTTCTACAATGAGCTCAGTGAAACTACTGAGCCCGAGCTACTGCGTGCAAACCTTGACGGTGTCGTCTTGACACTAAAGGCTTTAGGTATTGACAATCTGCTTGAATTTGAGTTCCTGGATCCTCCATCAAGCACATCTCTTATCAAGTCTCTGGAAAATCTGTACGCACTGGGAGCTCTGGACTCTACGGGGAAATTGACTCGACTCGGCCGACGAATGGCAGAATTGCCACTTGACATCAAACTTTCCAAAGCTATACTTGCATCGGAGAAGTACGGCTGTCGCGAGGAGATATTGTCCATTGTCAGTGTGTTGGGAGAATCAGCCTCACTCTTCCTCCGGCCTAAAGACAAAAGAGTGGCGGCAGATGCTGCTCGAGCCCGCTTCAGTAGCAAAGAAGGCGGTGACTTCATGACGTTTCTCAATATATGGGACCAGTTCGAGGACAGTGGCTTTGACAGTCGGTGGGCGACTGAGAACTTTCTACAGTGGAGATGTCTCAATCGAGCTCGTGACGTGCGCGATCAGTTGACAAAGCTCTGCGATCGTGTCGAGGTACCATTTTCCAGCTGTGGTAGCACGAATCATGTTGCTATCCGTAAGTGCATAACATCGGCTTATTTCATCAACGCTGCCAGGCTAGCCCGCGACGGATTGAGTTATCGTGCGATTTCCAACAGTGGGATGACCATCTTCATACACCCATCGTCAAGTTTGATAGAGAACCGTCCAAAGTGGATCGTCTATTTCGAAATTGTAGAGTCATCCAAGACTTATGCACGAGCCGTTTTGCCTATCAGTCCAGAATGGCTAGTCGAGGTAGCGCCTCACATGCACACAGAGAGCTCCATTGGTAAGCTTGGCGACGACAAGAAGATGCCAAAGGAGAAATTGATGGTTCCGGCGACAGCACGACGATAAAGAACTAGAGTGCCCAAGTATGTGGCTTTTAGCTATGACATGTTCCGATCACTCTTTTATATATAATTGCGGAATACTAACTCTGCGTCCACACCCTTACATACCTCAAACAACGAGAACGGGCCCACCCCCCTAGCATCCAGGTGTGTTGCGGGAAAGAATTCGGCCTCTCTTCTGTTTCAAAAGCATTGGAATCAGGCGTTATGGTAATGGGAAGGACGAATGCTTGTTGATATGATACCCTTTGTGAATTGTTTTTTGGGGGTGGTGTTTGTTTCCTTGGGTACAGACTGGCGTATGCCTCCACGGAGTGATTCTGAAAAACAGACCGTTTCGACGACTGAGATTCAATACAATTAGGAGCAAATATGATTGATTGATTACTTCATTAATTGGTAACGTACTAGAATAAGCGAGTGGCACACCCTACTACACCTGCGCACCTCTCCTCTCCTACTATATAATGGCTCCACAACACGTTACTCAATTACAGTCAAGCCAAGCAGACGTTCAGCTTACTATCTCATCTATCTATACTAGCTAAATTTAAAGTAATTGCTCTGCTGCCAAAATCTATAACGTAGCTGAAGCAACACTCCGCCGCTGACGCGCTAGCATGCCTACCCAACGCGACTGCCAGTCCAACTCAAAGAAGCTCACTTAGCTGGAGGAGTATGTGACAGTCGATCATGTCATTAATCCAGATCAGCGCGGATTCACGCCTACCTACGCTATTAGTATACGTCGTCTACTCACCCTTAACAGCTATAAGAGCTACTACTCTCTGGAGTTCTAAGAGTTCTATAAGAAGAAGAATTTCTACACTCTATATGTACCGCCTTACTCGCCTTAACTACTCTAGTCTCTTAACGTTGGCTGCTTCTCGCCATTAAAGCTCACATATAGTTGTAAGGTAGAGAGCCACATCTGCTACTATATTAACTACACAGCTCAGCTCGAGTTTCTACTAGCGTTTAAGGCAGCGTACGATCAATCCTTTACGCTAGCTGGTATCTACTCTGCCTTCTATAGCGCAAGCCTAATGCCTCTCTAGCTAGACGTTGTCCTATCAAAGCTTAACTTAAAGCTGCGTACGCCTACTCCACTGGCTATTCTAGCAGAGGCGCTCTAGTAGGTTCGTACGCCTAATAACACACACTAGCTTGAATACAGACGGGCGAAGCCTAGGGCTTGTAAATGCCTAGGATGTCTATTCGTAGGGGGTGTCTCTAAAGTGAGGATCGTGTGGATACTCCTCTGCTGGTCAAGAAGCCTTGCTGTCCTGTTACGTGCCTACGTACGTGCCAACTACACTTTTCGTACATATCTCTCTTTTCTCGTTGTAGCCAGAGATTCATCTCTTAATCCCGTAAAAAAACGGTAAAAAAAACTTCGTAAGGGGAAAAACTTAGAAAATTTGAGCGCGTCGTAGAAAGTCACCTTCTCTCTACAAGGGGAGAGAGAACCGCAGCGGGACTGCATAGAGAATGTGCTTTGATAGCTGTTGGAAGAGCAATTACGGTGAAGGCGGATCAGCAACATATGATTACTTGAACAATATAATACAGGGTGCTGACGATTGCACCATGGTGCAGGCGAGCTAGTTGGTGTGGGGAGCATGGCGTTTATTCTTGTGGGGGTTTGGGTGGGTCTGGCAGTTGTGACAGGCGATTATCACCTTTGGGCGTAGAGTCGGCGTGAAAATGTGCGGAGCGAGGCGTGGAAGTGCCGTCATCCCAGAACTCGACGTCGCCCTCGGCACTTAGAGAGCCTTTCTTGATTAGGCTTCCCTTTTCACGCATGAGATCCTCGATGGTAAGGGACTTGTCTGAAAAAACCTGTATGCAATGAGCGTGTATCTGAGTGGAAAGCTCATGGTAAGGGTACCTTGAGATGATCGCTGATCAAGTGTCTGTTCTTACAGCCTGGACACTGGATCAAGACTGTTCCATGATGGTAGCCCTGCTTTGACAATCGGTGCGACGAGCGTGTCTTGCAGACATTACAGGTGAAGGTGAGCTCGTACGAGGGGACTTGGTCGCGTTCTAACCGGGAGTCTGGGGCAGTGGTAGATGTGGGACCGGCCGTATTTGACTCGAAGCGGACAGTAGAGGGCACTGGCGCTCGCAATAGCGCGAGCGCTGGGCGGAGGGCAGTGAATGTTTGCCGGGTGTCCAAAAAGCGTTTTGCGGGCGCTGGGATGCGAGCAGCAGAGACACCTGGTCTTGTCTGTGGTACGGCACTCCGGGCGAATGCGCGCAGTAAAGACGGCGAGGAGCGCATGGCGGCTGTCTGGGCGTGGAGTTGAAGACAGCGGGTCATGCCCGCGGGCAAAAGAATGATTAAGGTTGATCGACCGCCAAGCAATGACGATGACAGCCGCGGCCATTCAGCGGGGACTCTTACCTGACCTCATCCCTCATCCCTCACGCCCTTGCGCACCTCTCCGGCCATTCTCTTCCGGTTCATTGTTTCTTTGCAGCGCACGAGCATGTTGGTGCTCTGTTAAACATACGCGCCCTTGTTCCCCGACCTCTCCCGCCACACCAAGCCTTGCAGCCACCACCGACCTTGCTCCGCTCACAACCGCACCAAGACCTTGTGCTTTTGAATATTCCGCTCTACCCTCGAGACACTACCGAACATGATTGCAGGACGGGGTAGGCAGCGGATAAGGCCCCCACGAAGGGTAAGTTTTGTGCATTCGCCCTTGCCACCCCACACTAACCATGTCACGCTCATAGGGTCTACATGGCGACGAAATTGATTTCGAGAACACATGGGGCACCATTGAGGCCGCCTTTCGCGAGATACACACAAAAAATGCCTCTAAACTATCATACGAGGAGTTGTATCGCCACGCCTACCGTATCGTCCTCAAGAAGAAGGGCGAGAGTCTATACAACAAGGTCCACGAATTTGAGAGCAACTGGCTGAGCACCGAGGTCCGCAGCACTATCCACCAATTAATATCCCCAAACCTCCTCGTAAATCCGCAAAGTATAGGCGGAACCACACCCAACGAGCGACGCGTCGCCGGTGAAAAGTTTCTAAAGGGACTGAGGCAGGCATGGAGTGACCACCAAATCTGCACAAGCATGCTGGCAGACGTGCTCATGTATATGGTGAGGCTGGTCCCTCTTCATATCATGCAAAGAGGCAACAAAAGCTAATACATGTGACAAAGGATCGTGTTTATTGTGCCGACCACCGCCGACCTTCCATCTACAACGCTGCCATGGTTCTGTTTCGCGACGAGATTCTGAATTCGCCAGTATCTTCAACCGACGCTCGCACTATTCTTGGTCTGCTAAGCTACATCATCCTTGACCAGATCCAGATGGAGCGCGATGGCGACGTCATTGACAAGCAACTTATCAAATCCTGTGTATGGATGTTGGAAGGCTTGCATGAAGCTGATATAGAATCCGAAGAACAACGGCTATACAACACTTCATTCGAGAAGGAGTACTTGGAGACAAGCAGCAATTTTTACCGGGGCGAATCCGAACTGTTGCTACGCGACTGCCATGCGGGTGCATATTGCAAACATGCGCGACGTAGGATTTATGAGGAAGACGAGCGCTGCAAGCAGACATTGCTAGAGAGCACTGGACCCAAGATTCAGAAGGTAGTCGAAGACGAATTGATCAAGAACCGCATACACGAACTTGTCGAAATGGAGAGCGGTGTGCGCTTCATGATTGACAATCATAGGCTTGAAGAGATAAATCTCATCTACGACCTGAACAGGCGTGTAGACGATAAGAAGATGGAAATCACTCGGGCCATCCAACAGCGCATCGTGGATATGGGCTCGGATATCAACAAGGATGCAATCGCCGCGTCGCAGGCGCCTGCTGTTATGCCCGTCGTCGATCCTGCTGACAAGGCCAAGGGTCCTGTACAAGAAAAGAGTCTGAACCAGCAGACAGTCGCTGCAATCAAGTGGGTTGAGGATGTCCTTGCACTCAAAGACAGGTTCGACAAAATCTGGCGAGAGTCTTTTGAGTCCGATCCGTTGTTGCAGCAGGCGCAAACGCAGAGTTTCACCGACTTTATCAACTCTCCAACTTTCCCACGCTCATCAGAGTATATCTCCCTCTTCATCGACGAGAACATGAAAAAGGGTATTAAGGGCAAGACTGAGTCTGAGATCGATGCGGTCTTAGAAAAGGCAATTATACTACTGCGATATGTTCAAGACAAAGATCTCTTCGAGCGCTACTACAAGAAGCATCTATGCCGTCGATTGTTGATGAACAAGTCGATCAGTAACGAAGTCGAAAAGCAGATGATTTCAAAGATGAAGATTGAGCTGGGCAACAACTTTACGCTGAAGCTAGAGGCCATGTTTAAGGACATGACTATTTCTGAAGAGCTAACCGCTGGCTTCAAGAAACATGTCGAAGGATTGGGCGACAAGGACCCAAAGAGAATCGAGCTATCCATCAACGTGCTCACAAGCATGACATGGCCTCTCGAGACAATGGGTGGCGCAGCTGCCGACGAAGAAGATCAGCGGCCACGGTGCAATTATCCTGCTGTTGTTGACAAGCTCAAGCGTGGGTTTGAGAAGTTCTACAGCCAGAAGCACTCTGGCCGACAACTTACCTGGCTAGCCAACATGGGTTCGGCAGACATCAAGGCTGTTTTCCCCAAAGTACCGCAAAAGGACGGCTCGTTCAAGGAGCGTCGTCACGAGCTCAACGTGTCAACATACGGCATGGTTATCCTGCTCTTGTTCAACGATCTCGCTCCAAATCAACACATGACATTTGAGGAGATTCAAGCGCGGACCAACATACCACCAAGTGACTTGATCAGAAATCTTCAGTCGCTTGCTGTAGCGCCAAAGACGCGCATTCTAGTAAAGGAGCCCATGTCCAAGGACGTGAAGCCCACTGATCGCTTCTTCTTCAATGAAGGGTTTCAAGGCAAGTTCGTCAAGATCAAAGTTGGTGTCGTTAGCGGAGGAAACAAGGTTGAGAGTGATCGCGAGCGACGAGAAACAGAAAAGAAGAATGATGATTCGCGAGGTTTCTGTATCGAGGCTGCTGTTGTGCGAATCATGAAGTACGTACTTTATTGCGCCACCTACTGTATCGTATGCTGACCAGCTTTCTTAGGCAACGCAAAGAACTATCACATCAACAACTCATGTCAGAGACGCTCAGCCAACTCGTTGGGCAGTTCAAACCTGAGGTCAACATGGTCAAGAAGCGTATTGAGTCGCTTATTGAGCGTGAATACCTTGAGCGTATAGAGGGCGCGCAGATTGACTCGTATAGGTATTTGGCGTAGGAGCTTTGCCCGGCCGCGTTGACTTTTCATTTATCTTTCACGGAGTTTTTTTTATGACCAGCATCGATTTGGCACTTGGGATGGATCAGCATTGCAGAACGCATAGCATAGGCGTCAAAGGCATGACGGTGATGAGCATTATCAGAGGACTATCTGTGGATGCTCTTTATGAGACGAGAAGCATTGAATAGTTATTAATCATGAAAACATACAATTCTCGGCTCATTGATCAAGGTTTTTCCTGTTTTGAATTCTGCATTCATCTCTTGTCGACTATGAACAAAGCTTCTTAGAACCGGGTGGATATGTAATTTGCAAGTTCAAAGTCATGTATGACACTGATTGGTCGTGGTGCTCATTGATTGGCAAGTATCTTTTGGTTGAAATATTACAAGATTGACAATTGTTCATCCTAATCTTCAAGTGTCCCCCCTTCAGTCTTACCTATATCTTCCAACAATCTTCCTCCTCTTCTCAAACGCGTCTCCGGCAGCGGATCCTGAGCTTCTTGGACCATCACCAACAGGCCTCTTCCTACTCCTCTCCAAGCTTCCCAAATTACCCCCCTTCTTCTGCGTAAGTCGTTCAATGCGATCAATGCCCGCGCCCAAACTTCTCCATTCCTCGCCTCCGAAACCACCATCGCGCTGCTGCCGGGCCTTTTTCCTAGCAGCCTCCTTTTTGCTCTCTGGAGCCAAGCGAGTGAAGTTTGCTTCTTCGTATTCGCGTCTTTCATTCTCTTCGCGGCGCTCACGCTCAGATTTGGTGTGCCGGCCGCCCTGTGTAATGGTAGACCCAATACTGGGCTCAGCAATGGGGGCAGTAGAGAGCTCGGTAGCAATGAATTCATCCAGAGTGGCTGATTTTCCTGGGCGGCGCTCTCGTCGTGCTTCGCGACCTTCTGGAGTCGGCATGGCCATGGGAGTAATCTTGGGGGGCCGATAGATGCCGTCTTTTGCAGATTCACGTACGCGCTCCTGACTGGCTTCTGTCTTTTGGCGTGTAACTTGGGCACGTCGGGGGCCGTATGCCATTTCGTCTTCGTCTTCTTCCGTCTGTGCGGACCCAGCTGATTCGGCATCGCTCACATCTGAATCGGATCCTGTGTCTGTCTTCATCTTCTTGGGTCTTGAAGCCAAACTTGTAGGAGCCTGGGTAGTGCGACGATTGGCATCATCTGCCGTCCTCAAAATCTTGTCGATTTGGTATTTCAGACGGCTTTCGAGGGGGCGAACGCCCTTTTCCAGGTAGATCCTCAGTTCAACAAGCTTTTGAACGACTTCATCCTGAGGAAGGAGATCTGTCTCTTTATGGTTGCTTTTTTGTGACCTCAATTTAAGGAGTATAAGGAAAACCAGGTTTTGCAGGTAGCTCAGAAGCAGCTCGTTCTTTACGTCCAGCAGGGAGATTCCTTCCTTTGGAGGCACTATATCGTCATTGGGCAGCGCTTCGGTAGCAGATTGAATAGATGTCGTGAGAGTCGCGAGGAGCGACTCAAGCGAGTTGTCGACAGCCATGATGTTGGAGATGCAGTCGTGGTTGTGTTTTGTCGCGCGCAAGCACCCAAGTTGCAAAGAAATTTTAGTGGGTCCGGCTACTACGCTAACGCACGAGCCGGGTAGGGGCAAGTCTGCACCAATCACCTTGTCTTCAAGCCAAGCCATTGTCGAGAAGTAGCATCTCTGCGCTTTCGGTAGCGCTTGGTGAGTTTCTTCTTCTTGAATCAACTAGTCATGTGATTGGTGATATACCTCGTGGAACTCGAGTTTCGGGACTTGGTGATTCGTCATGTTACTGACGGTCTTGAGCAACCCGAAGAACCCAAACTGGTGTCAATCCATCTGCTTTCGCTTCCGAAACCAATTCAGCCAATAGATTGTCGGACGATTATGACCATCTCCTCAAAAGCATTTTCGGTATGATTGGAAAGGGAACAGGGTATTCGTCAAAGCGTATGCATGTTTCAGATAATACGCTACGAGCAAGATGCGACCGGCATTTACTTTGCCGGCAGGTACGGTTAAGCTCACGTGATGAATCATTTGTATCTCATTGTATTACCAAGTCGATGAACCCCTTAAAGAAGCGGAACGTTGAGAAACTCTTAATATTACGGATGACTTTGGACGATAATACTCCAAACTTAACGACAGGGTATAGTCGTGTACCTAGCAATACGAACTGGTCTAGATTTGATGAACCCATAAGTCACCTGGAGACCGTATATAGCCCGAGGGAAGATCGGAGATTGAGAGAATCTTATTCGTACGAACGCAAGATGACAACGATGAAGGATCCGGCAATCTTGAAACAAATTTTATCATGACGCGTGGATACGTGGCGAGCGGATAGACTGGGGGAGAGCGTATTAGGCTGACATGATTGTATTCTGTAAGAGGGATTTGCTTGGCTGGGAACGGGCCAAGAGCGTAGTCCGAGCGCTCGATGGCGATTGTATATCGTCGGTGAAATTTATACTTCACGGCTAGGGGCATTCTATGCTGCTTCTGGAACTTTTCCACGACCCACATCCACTTGTTCGGGTCTGCGATGACGCCTAGTCGTGTATCACCAGACCGCAGCACCATGATGATATGAGGAAATACAGCTACTTCTCTTGATGTTGTTTTGCTCGCGAGACTTCACGTACCCGGTAGTGGTAGTGGTGGCGGCACGAGCTCCCGTGTACCCGACTGTGGCGTCGTCTTAATCCGAACATCACCAATGGTAGCGCAGGCACTCAAGCGCCAGGCAAGGCCTCTTCAGCAGATACGGGTTAGAGTTTGATATCGTCATATCCCGTGAGTTGCAGAAGCCGGTCCTCAATACCTGGGGTTTGACCAGCTTAAGCTTCGAATCTTAGTTGCATGCTATCCATAGTACGGCACTAAGTGACGATTGCTACTACGGATACCTCGGCACGTAACCAAGTACAATCTCGTTGTGTGGTAATCTGTTGCTTGTGGCTGTTTTGCCTCCTGCCGATGAGCGTTGTGTGAACACAATAGATATGGATTTGCACAAAACGTACTGGTGGGTTGTACATAGGTACATCATACATGGAGGCCATCGGTGAAGGCTGCGCAGCGTTAGTCCGGCTAAGCCCCAGTGCCCATCAGCTAAAGACTATGAGCCAATAGTGACGGTACTAATATCTCAGATGAAGAGCTGACGATAGCTCCATTCCCACCTGCCACGCGACCCCCTCCTACACACCCTCAAGACCCCTGCTCTGCGTCATTTTACTGTGTACTAGAGACCAGTTTCTCGAAGGTTTCAAAGAACTTTCCACCCATTTTCCAGAAGGCCCGAAAGCTAGGCGTGCGGGTAAAGGCGTTCAAGCTCACAAGGTGTTGGGCGTGCAGGGGGGTGGCGTACCCCGGTACCGTGCTGCATGATATAGATTGCACTTGTGCGGGGGACTTGCTTTAGTCACTGTTTTGTGCGTGTGGGTATGGATATGTGTGGGTGTTCAGAATTGTGCCGTGTGTGCGTGTGTGCGCGCGTTCGCCATGTATGTGTTGCCGTGTTAGGGTGTTATGCATGAGGGACAAAGCTAGGTAAGTCCAGTAGTAGAGTATGTATGTACAAAGGCACGTCACAATCAATGCCAAGAACATGGTCAGAGCTGGATGCAAAAGGTTGGCATGGGGCATAAGGTATTGTTTCTAATTGGCAAAGCTTTGCGCTGGTCCACCATAAGAAATCTTCTTTCACGCCCATCATCCTGGAACTGGCAATGGCCAGCGGCTCAGGCCAACGTCCTGTGGCGGGGCCGAACTCGTAGTATGGCCAGTATACATTCCAGTCTCCACAGAACGTCCTTTCAATTCATCACTTTGATTTATTCGCTGATTATCCGGTCTTTCTTTGCCGTGGGGGGTATAGGTAACTGGGTAACCTTCTCCATTAGGATGCGGCTCTTCCGGAGCATGCATCCTTTTCCTTGGCTGGTTGTCCTCTGCCAAGCACTTTCATCGTGCTTGCAATCTTGGGCTCGCCCTTGCAAAGTCGCCCCAGATGCCATGCCACGACTGGATTCACCAATCACGACGGCTGCAAAAGGCAGAACTTAGGATGCTGCAAGAATTTCAGGGCCGATCGTTGTCTGTGCGGAGCACATACATACAGTAGGTATGTAGGTAATAGAGTATGTAGGTACCGACACAGGACGCCGGATGTGCAGGTCTGTGCTTGACCTCAGAACTGGGTTGGTCCGACTACCCCGCTCTTGTCTCGTATATGATAGTCAACGTCGCGTGTAGTGAGTACTTCCTAATGCATATGTACGCGGAGCTCACCAAAAATGGAAGGCAAATCTTGCAGCGGAGTCGATAATGGACATTGCCCCCCTAATCCTGTAGGAGCCGTTCTGCCCGGCAATCACAAGGCGCCAGATGGTGCCTTGCATAATGTTTGGCAACTACCATGATTCAAGCCCCTCAAACTTCAAATTTGAGTCCTGCTGTTCGTAGCCACATCTGTCGCTTTCCCTCGGCTTCACGTATAATCTCAGCAGAGAGACGAAGACTGGGGGCAAGATGCGCATAGCGCTCCATCTCTAGAACAACGTTGTTTATGATGTCGTCCATTGTCGCGGGTGGCGGAAGCAGCTGCGATAAAGAAGGTGTCATGGTCGCACCCATGATGAGAAGTGTTTGCGAGATGATACTAGAGTATGGTTAGTGTACGTATGAATGACTTGGACGGTGAACTCACGAAAGAGCGCCTTGGAACAAGTAAGGCAAATGTCCAGCATGGTGCGCGGTGATGTATTCTAGTTGACGAACGCATGCTTCAAGGCACTTGTGGCAGTTATCCTGCACACTTGAATCCATTGCAAGAGATTCGTCTTGTAACACAAGAAGCACATAGGGTCGGAAGATGATTGTGCGGCATGCAAAGTAGCGTAGTCTCAGTACGGTCTGGACGGGGTTCTGCAGTGGCACTCTGTCGAGCGGAAATTGCATGGCTGGCGGTAATCCAGCATACCACTGGTTCAGTTGGTAGTCTAGTTCCACGACCAGCGGGTCTAGTTGCGCAATCGAGGTAGCAGCTGGACCTTTCGAGTATGGCGTTGTACGGATGTAGAGCATGGAGCTTACGCGGTTGAGCAGCCTCCGGAGAGCGATCTCGGCGAGGAAATACCAGAGCTCATCGCGGCCAACAGCGTCGGTCCCCAAGTCTTCAAAACCGGTTGGAAGTGAGAAGCCTTCTTCAAACTGTGCTATACCAGAGTGGGGAAGGTCAAGCTCAGCCAATAGATCACTTTCAATCATAACTGCATTCCAATACACTCTCTTGCCCAGCTCTTCTTCGGCAGGTGACACGCGACCAGGCGCACTCAACAAGAGCTGGAGCTTCATGCTCGCGCCCGACAACACGTTCCAGGCCTCTACTGGACGCACAAGGTAGACCAAGTAGGCTGCGGCTAGGATCTGACATTGTGCTGCAACCATATTGTTCCTTGTCATGACGGTGGGTAGCAAGCTCCAGGCTGCGGCAAAGTACGCCAAGCCCGGAGGATCCTTCTCCGGATTCTGCTGTGTGATGCTACCTGTGCTTGCAGCATGACCAAGCGCAAGCACCAGGAGCACTATGCAGCTTTCAGGGCCGTCCCGGAATCCATGGCTGAGGGCAGTCTGGTAGTGGGCACTCCAGGTATAGGGGTTGACAACGGCGTAGAAGACGTTGACTCTCTCAAAATATGCTTGAACATATGCGCCGGTGTTGGAGAGATCTAGCCCGCGACTGGCCCCGAGGCTTACCGATTCCCTAGTCATCTCGAGCTGAAGAAGGATCTTGGCGTCATACTGACGAGAAACGAGCTCGCGGATCATTGGCGACGACAGCAGATTAAGCGCGGCAGTATTATGGGTCTTTGGCATGGTCGAGATATTTGAAGGATGGTTGGTCCATGTGCCGATGCCGTTGATCGGCTGAACCATGCCGAGATGGGGTATATGGCCGGTACTGCGGGCGAGAAAATCTTCGCTGGTCGAGTTGCTGGCTGCGGGCGAGTGCGAAGAGAGCGAGAAGTTACTGGTAAGACCGGATTGGAGCAGGCCTTCGATGCGGTTCAAGTGTTCCAGAATCAGCTTGTCGCCTGCGTCAAGCTTGATGCCGGGTTCGCGGTAGATGCATTCTGCGTTGAGCTCTGTGCAAAGCCTGCACTTTGGCCTGGTTCCATCACATCGCGACTTGCGTGACCGACATATCTCACACTAGGTAATGTCAGTTTCTGGGCCAGAGGGAGGTTGTAGGACAAGATGAAAGCAAAGTGGCTGATGTACCGCAATGGTGGCGCGCCGCCGGGGATAGTCTATTGTGTCGGTACTTGGGCGCTTCTTGTTTGTTGGGCGCGGCTCTGTGCTTGCACCGTTGGTGCCGTTGCTGGTGGGCGCGATAGCATTTGACTGTGCGGGTGGGGTGGTGTCATTGGACATTTCCCGGTCGGTACCAGAGGACTGTGACATGTTGCGGGGTCGCTTTTTGAAGGTACCGTTTACACTACCGCTTCCCGAGAACAAGCCATTGGGGGACTCGAGGAGATGGGGAGATCTTAGAGTGGATTTAAGCACGAAGCTGTTGGCGTCTGGCAGAGCGGAGAGATTGAGGGAGAAGGCGTCACGGGGAAAGCCTCCATTGGTGGTGGCCGCTGACACGGGGCTGATCTCTGGAGAAGGAGTGATTGCGGCCATGATTGGTGGACGAGTAGACAATGGCCGGGGGGGTTAGTCCTACACTACACTTTGGGGCTGGGGCGTCCAGCCACGATAGCGAGAGTACGTGCCTGATGCGTAGGCGGTAGGGGTAGGATGGGGAGGGGAGGGGAGCGTGTGTAGTTGGTATGATGTAGTAGGCGTAGCAGCAGCAAAGACAAGACTGAAGAGGGCCGGGCCAGCAGCGGATTATAACCACGCCCAATCTCGCGTCCGTTTAGCTCTACACATGTGCAAAATATGGCTCGCGAGATGAGCGGCGCAAATGCGGGGATGACCAGGGGCGTCGAGTACTCCACGTTCGGCTCAGGCAATCAATAACAGCGGCGGCAGAGGAAGCTCGCAGACCAGGATGGCGAGTCGTCAGCGGAAGCGCAGCGTGTATCGTCGCCTCCCCACAGCGGGCGCAGGTTGCAGGCATGCGGGGGGTGTGGTCATCGGCTGCTTACAGAGAAGGATGCAGGAAGCACGGAGCGGTTCACACAGCCATTTGCTGCGTAGCTGTTGCTGCGGGTGGTGGCCGTGGTGGTGGTGGTGGTGGTGACCAGGCCCGACAGGGCAACAGCCGGCCAGCACTGCTCACACCCACGACACAACACGACGCACCCAGCCGGCCGCTCCATGGGCACGGCGGCCAACGACAAGGCGAGGGCGACGGCTACCCGCTTGGCAAAGAGGGTCCAACACCGACTGCCATGGCCATGACCCAACAGCGGCAGCGTGGACCTGCATAAACTGCGTCTCCTGATCATTCACGCCCGGCCCCGTCATGGCCGACAGCATTTCCATATTGCCCCCAAGCCACTCGAACTCGATGCGAAGCTCTGCTCTCCGTCTGATAGGCACGACCGAGCTTCGGTGCAGCTCCCCCTCATATCGGAGCGCCCCTCATATTGCCATGGCCGCCCCGGGCCCGCCCTGTGCCTGTAAGAGCCGTCAAACGGCGCCTGGCTGGCTGGGATGCTCCAAGCAGCCTCCATGGTCGCACTCGCCGACATGATGCATCGCCCATGGCATTCCTCATTCCGGCGCATCCACGCCCGGCCCTGCCACACTGGCAGCCAGGTGCTTAGTGCCGCCGAGGCCAGACGCAGTGTTGCTTCCTTGGGCATAGCCGCGCCTGGAGTTCACATGGCCGCACTGGGCCAGCAATCCTGATCTGCGCATCGAGCGCTTGAACCCTCCCCAAATGCGGCCCTTGGTGGAGCACGCCGTGGGTGTTGGTATAGTGTATGTGCACCACCATCTTCTCGGCGTACAAGGCGGTGGGATGCGGGCGGCCGCGTCTTGGACATGGCAATAGTCAAGTAGATACTCATGGCCCTTGGTGCTTGGTGGAGAATAGCCGGTGGGTGCGTGGGTGTGCCTGACTCTGGCGGCCATGCAAGTAGCGTCACGCAACAGCATGTACAAGACCGACAACGATCCGATCGACTGGAGCCCATGGTTGCATGTCTCGGGCGAGAATGCTTCTGTCGAGTGCGCGTCAAGGCCATGCCAGAGTATGGACATGATTACTGTCTTGCCTAGAGCAGCGGCGGGCGCTGTCCCATTGTGAGGAAACACGGCATCAGAGCAAGCGTTTCGGCACTAGGAAACTTTGGCCACGGTGCCTTGTAAGCCCATGACAAGTATCGTGCATGGCGCAGAGAGCCCCCGACAAACGGCAATCTACATGACTGTTGAGATCCAATGCAAACCCAGACAAGCCCTACGCCGTTGTGGCCTCCCTGCAACCAGAAAACCGTTTTTAGCTATATGCCTTTGCAATGTGCAACAAATGACGCCCCACGCACAGACTCGCGGTCTGGTTATGGACATCCCTTGCTGCATCGATGCAGTGGCTGAACGGCCTGCCATCTCTCACGTCCACAAAGAGCAAGTCCAGCCCTACGACATGGACGCAGCCACAGACCCAAACTGCATCCTAGCGAGCATATGCGACTCCAACTCCTCCTTCAGTCACTTTTCTTCTTCTTTCCCCCCCAAGAAACTTGCACTATTCATCATGTTGCCGCTGCTTGTGTCACACAGACTAGTTCATCGCCATGTTGGCGGTAAAGGAAAGAACCTTTCAGTCACTGCCTAGCAAACAAAACAGCGACAGACGAGCTGCTACTGCTAACGTACAGACCATCACTTCATCCGATCCTCAAAGCTCTCCCCACGCCCAGGCAAGTGGTCTACAAAAAGGAACTTCACGCAGCCAGCCATTCCCTCAAGCAAACACCTGACAAGGCCTGTACGGCGTGAACAATCTACGCCGCCGCACATGAAATCCGAAGCAGTCGAAGCCTTTGCATCCAAGACAGTGAGGCCAGAAGCACTGGAGGCTGCCAAAGCATTGGTAGATCAGGAAAACAGACAGTCAGGGTCAACTGGCTTGTCTGGTACAGAGCAGGTATGCTATAAGCACCTTCTCAAAGCACAATGCTAACCTGACTGGCCAGTTGCCACCTCAAGATACCCCAACCAATGTCCCGACTACGGTCGCACACTCACCTTCGCCCTCACAAGACACCGACGACGATGCCTCAAGACCTTCCACCCTCCTCTCCGAAGTGATTCAGGGTGCCAAGTCTGCTGTTGACGACGTCCTATCTTGGGCTGAGAAGAAGGTCGGTAGTTTGGATTCAGAGAAAGGCGGTGCAGGGCCCTACGACTCACCAGCTACATGCATGCCTTCAGATCTCGATGCTATTGCCAGTGGCATCCTGCCTGCCATGCCAAGCAAGAGCCAACACAACGAGGGCGCTCGGGCAAAGAGAAAGGTGATGAATGATACACCATTGGGAGAGGAACCGGACAAGCCCAAGGGACAGAGCAGTGCTTGAAAGCAGCATGTTGAGCATGTGGTGATGAAGCGGCAAATGATAGATTTGCACAAGCCGAACAACAAGGGAAATGGTGCATGATGCCCTGTTTATTTTGATTCATTTGTACGTTATCGAAGACAAACAAACAGAATTATCAAAGACTGCATTACGTTACCGAAAAGAATACCAGCACGTCTCTAGACCCTCACACAGCGCAGCGGGAATACGAGGAAAAGTGGGGGAACCATGCGTACATACGTACTAGTCCACGCTAGGTAACCTCGGCTTCGCACCAACAACCAAGCATCTCATCATCACGTCGACACAATTGTGCAACACTTTCCTCCCCATCACAAGCCAGAAACCCCAAGCCTCACAGCATCCCGATAGCATATCGTCTCTGTTAATCGCAACAATGGCATCGGTAACCTCGCAATCCCACCCACTCCTGCTCGCGACTAGTGCAGCCTACGGCGTGCTAGCCCTGGGCCACACGGTAAATACAACCTTGACCTTCATTCCAAAAAAAAGTAATAGTACCGTACGAGCAAGTATCTGATATCTTTTTTTTCTGTCGGTGATTACAGATGAAAGGCCTTGATCAATTCAAACATCCAACCATGAACACGCTTCCGCTAGTGCTCCGGGGCGCCTCCAAGATTGGCTGGTACGAAGGCAGTGGCTTCTTTGTCATTATGAGTAAGTCTTTGCTTTTTTCTTTAGGATTGGATAACATCAGACTATATCAATGAAGAAAAGTGGACAATCAACGTACTGATAATTCCCACTTTTCTCAAGGCATCCTCAACTACAAATGGTCGCAGGTTGGAGTGTACGACATTTATGACAAGAGCATTGCTGCCATCTTGACAGGCCTCTTGGCTGCCGCTGGTGCGGCTTATTGGAAATCCAACGACAAGCCCACCGCCCTGACGCTGGCTACCGTGGCTATCCTGCAGGGTCTTGGCGTGAGGAACGGGTGGTACCATCGCTCTTTCTAGACAACCGCGTGCTTAGCACGTCTCATCCCTATCAGCGTTACATTGCATGCTCGATATCGTACTTTGACCAAAGTTTAAGAGAATGCAACCATTATTACTCCTGGGTCAGGTCTGCTGCCAAGGCGCCGTATTGTACAGATAATCCGTGTGAAATTGTAAAAAAAAAAAAAAAGCAAACTGTGTAACGGGGTATAGAACACTGCCCTGAAGCCGCCCGCTATGATGATCCGAATGCGCCACATTCATACAAGAAACCCTAGTTTTCATACCATGAATCATAACCCATTATCAATCTCCCTGTCAGGAGCGCCATCCATGTGGAGAAACAAGATGGACATGGTGTACACAAGGCCTTGCCTACTTGTTGGCTTTGCTGACCTTGCCTGCCTTCTCGCCCTTCTGAACAAGGACAGGAACTACTCGCTTGTCGCTACCAAGCAGGCGCGCAAGCCGAGCAATGTAGTACTCCTCAAACGTCTTGCTAGCATCCATCTTGACCTCATCAGCTGCTAGCTGCTCAAGGCGCAACAAAGCGCGGTTGACGGCGTCCTCGACCTCCTCAGCCCAGTTGCTCTTTTCCCTGACGCCTTCGCTCCTCAAGCTGTCGCTGCCACCATGAGCCGCCGGCTCGACGCAAGATGTGCCCATCTCCATCAGGGTAGAGGGAAAGCAAGGCGCAATCGAGCTTGCGGGCAAGTCATCCGAGGTGAAGCTCAAGTACTCAGCGATACGTGGGTTGGCGGCAGGAGAGCCCAGGGCGATAGGCACTGTGCCCTCGGTCACACTGATCGGAGTAAGAGACCTACAAGCGTGTCTGTTCTTGCCGCTATCGCTCATTACCTCCGAAACGCTGGCAACGTCGGCCTCGTCATCTTCGGCAACCGAAGGCTCGGGAGAATAGCTGACTGATCCCGCATCTCCTTCATGCTGACGTAGCTTGCGGTTGTCGAGCTTCAGCTGAGCGAGTCTATCGCCGATGGCGCTAAAGCCGCGGCCGCGAGTCGTAGGGTTGCGGTAGACGATGGAGGGCTCCGGGGAGCCGACTACAGGTGTGTTGATGGGAGGGGAAGGATAACCGGCCTCTTCGGCGGCTTCGTTGAGCGACTCTTGAATAGGAGCAAGAATCTTAGCAACGGCGGCGTAGTCCATCTCTGGTGGAGGATCGACGGACTCATTGGCAAACGGAGTACCGACAGGCTCGGTGACTGGCGTGGGATTGGGCGCTGACGGAGCATCCGATTGGCAATCCAGCGATGTGACCTTATTCATCATGATGGAAATCATTGCTGAAGTCTTGGTAGCAATATCTGGCGGGTTGCTGCGTCTTGTGAGTATGGCGGAGAAATACTCGCGCTGTGGTTGGTCGGACAGAAATCGAGGCAGGTGGAGCAAAAGGAGCAGCAAGGAGCGATTGCCTACATTCAGATGATGTGTTTTGAAGCCTTGGTGACACAATAAACCTTTTCGCTGATACTGTAACGCGAACAGATGTTACGGTAGTAGTAGTAGTCGGTCTGAGCAATGGGAGCGCAGTGTATGGGTGGGCAGAGTGGGGAGAGGTAAGAGCGTCTGTCTTGGAAGGAGCCAGAAGCCAGCTTGTAATCACTACCAAACGCTTGACAAACAAACAAACGGACAATTCCAAGGACCTGAAGTCCGCCTATCCTATGAAATTCTGCGCGGCAGGTGACCCGTTTGTGTCCCGTGCGATGCAGTTCTCCTTCACTGTGACATGACGTCGGTATTGCCCGACGGGGTCCTGAAGACTGAAGTGCTAGAAGGTAGATTGTGGAGCGCAATCCCAGATGCGACTGCTGCTCCATCTCCACCTGTGGTCAGATTTGCAGCAGGACGAGCGCTTTCATCGCATACCGCATGACTTCTCCCCCAGCCGTTTTTCTGTGAGACAATCCAAGGCACGAGGTTGTAATAAGCTCCGCAAGCAAAGATGCCAATCCAGAGAGCCAATTCGGTGCCATAAATCACCATCCCTAGAATGTCCAGTGTAGGTTGGAACAAGACGGACACCAATGAGAAGACATCGCCTAGGGCATCGATGGCTACAAAGATGAACGAGATTCCTCGAACAGTGCGAAAGAGGTAGATGTCAATGTAGTGCCGCATAACCCCAGCTGCAAGCAGACTAGCCGAAGCAACTGCCATGAGGATACTAGGCCAATGCAGGTCCTGGCGCTGAGCATGTCGTATTGCGAATATGAGGCCAGTTTGCACTCCACCCATAAGACTGGCTATGGGGATGACCACCGCAAGTGAACGCAAAACAGACCAGTTCTGCAGGGTGTCAGTTTCACTCATGCATTGGAATCTAGTAGTTTCCTCGAATCACCTTCTCATAATAATAGCACTGGATCCACGTGACGAGACTCAGGACAGTGAGAATCTGAGGCTGTATGCGCAAAGCAATGTTGTAGTCTTCAGCAATGTTATAAACACCCAGGGGGACACCGGCCCAAGCCCACAAAATCATCATTGTGGGTTGCAATCCGGTTGCATTGTGTCGTCTGTAGTTTACAACAATTTGAGGTATCAGCTGTAAGATATTCAGCATTACCATTGGGTATAGGATGACGAGGAAGATATGTAACTACATGCTACCCACACACACACACATACCTGAATAGACCAACAGACCTACACCAGTCAGTATATTAGTCCTTCCACGATAAGGGTTCACGTACTGCTCCCATGGTCCCCAATACATTGGCAGCTACCGGGACGTCCATTGTTAATGGGCAGAAGATAATGAAGCGTGTGAGCAACTAGAAAATTAGCAGCACGTGGTGCACTACTACACCTATGTTTCTACCAATCAACGTATGAGCAGGGTCAAGTTCGCAAGAAGTTGCATCACGTCACGTCCCGTCCCTGGAAAGCGGAAGCGGAAGCGAAACCAAGAAGCAAGGATCAGCCTTGCTGCCGCCATGACGCTCTCTTAACTCCGAGGCTCCGACAATGGTGGAAGGGCTTAGAAATCGCCCGACCTAACGCTGCCACATTTGTGCTGTGCTCAACGCAAGAAAAGATACTTGGGGAAGAGAGAGAGAGAGAGAGAGACAATGGCGCAGGATAAGCTGGATACGAGCGAGGCGAAGGATATAGAGGGAAGGCCTGGTTACAAGAAACTGGCAAATGGCATCATACTCGGTCCAGACGGCAAGCCGTAAGTACCTTATTTCTGTCTTTCTCCATGTACCTATGAGCAATTGCGCCGGGCAATATACAGGCCTTGCAATGGCCATAGCCCTTTGTCGCGTGTGTGTATGCGAGGAGAAGTGAATGCTGACGTTTAGTTTGCCTACACTGTAGATGTCGCACCTGCAACGATGTAGCTTCTCTATTTGCAATGTCGGGCAAAATGCCCACGAAGCGCACGCAACCCACCGCGACCACGACAACTGCCAAAACTACCCCCACACTGCCCGCTGACTGCCCGCCGGACGTGGAAGCCCTCGGTCGCTCTTCGTGGACACTCCTCCATTCCATAACCGCTACATACCCAACCAACCCGTCTCCTCAACTACAGTCGGAAACCCAGTCGTTCCTCTCCACATTTGGCAAACTATACCCGTGTTGGGTGTGCGCTGAAGATTTCCAAAAGTGGATGCAGAAGCACACGCCGAGGGTCAGCAATCGCAACGAGTTCGGCGAGTGGATGTGTGAAGCGCACAATGCAGTCAATGAGAAGTTGGGCAAGGAGACATTTGACTGCAAGAGGTGGGAAGAGAGATGGCGAACTGGGTGGAAGGATGGCAGGTGCGACTTCTAGGTCAAACCAGGAAAGCTACCTCGGCCCATGTGCGACCTGTACGATTATGTGTATGTGATAGTGGGCATCATTTGTGTTTGCAAAGCGAGGACGCCGCCACTCTTGTATAGCTAGCATCAAGGACGAAAGCATTGGGCGGTGTTTATAGACCACAACGATACCCCCAATACGCAAGTTTCGTGTTAGACCATCTCGTGCATTGTGAACAGGGACACCAAAATAGCCAGGCAATTTGCAAACAAGCATGCATTTGTGCTTATTGTCATCTCACACTGTGACGACAGAAATTGCTCATAGAAAATATTCGAAGCTCAAGCTCATATCCGCGCACCTCTGCGCTGTCATGCTAATGTGTTTCTTCTGCTGCGAATCCAAATGACAGGAACATGGTATGCCACTTCTCACATGCTAATGCGCTCAGACTAGCTGGCTGCAGACAGGTTGCGAAAATGGACTCGATCGTGGTATCTTTGTATTAATCCCGCGCAAGGGCCAAAGGCGTGAAGGTATTTATCGCATAATCTCCTGGTAGATGAGGACTGCGTGTCTGTTAGCTTATGCTCGACGTGTGAAAACTCGTCTGGACTCACGCTTCAACTGTTCCTTGGTCAGGTTGTCCTTGTTCTTGTCAAAGTCGAAGAACTCCTCTGGAATGGGGTCCGCGCCTGGCTCGTCATCTGGGTCGTGGTAGGGCTCAAGGTATGGGTGCTTGAGCGCGTCCTCGACTGAGATGCGCTTGACTGGGTTGAAAGCCAGTAATCGCTCGAGCAGGTCAAGAGCCAAATCGTTTGTCTTGGGGAACATGGCCTTCCAGGGAATCTTCTTCTTGAAGGGCAGAGATCGGATGTATTCGCGAGCTCGGCGGGACTTGATACCGTAGTAATCCTCCATGGTGGGCGTACCGAGTACGTCGAGGATCAATGTGAGCTGGTGGTGGTCTGGCAAAGGTTAGTTTCTCGGAGCTGATCTGGAGGCACTGCGCGCGACTTACAGTCCTTGCCTGGGAAAAGAGGCTTTCCGCTGAGCATCTCGGCGAGGATACATCCCACGCTCCATACGTCGATTGCTTTTGTGTACTCCTTGAAGGTAAGCATAATCTCTGGCGCACGGTACCAACGAGTGGCAACGTATTCGGTCATGAAACCCGAGTTGTCCTCGGTCGAAGCGGCGGATCGAGCGAGACCAAAATCACAGACTTTGAGATCGCAGTTTGCGTTGAGCAGCAAGTTGGAGGGCTTGAGATCGCGGTGGAGGACGTTTGCCGAGTGCATGGCCTTGAGGGCGCGTAGGGTCTGGTAGATGAAGTACTGGCAGTGGTCGTCGGACAGCTCCTGTGTGCGAATGACGCGATGCATGTCCGTCTCCATCAGTTCCTGAGCAGCAGGTTAGAACAAAAGAGCACATGCAAGTCAGTCCATTTGCGCACCTGAATTAGGTAGACCTCGGTAAAGGTCTCGTAGTTGCGGGGCTTTTGGATGTCTAGAATGGAGATGATGTTTTCGTGGTTGAAGTAGCGCAGCAGCTTCATCTCTCGCAGTGTTCTCAAGCAGAACATGGAGTGGTCAAAGGGCGTAATCTTCTTAATGGCAACCTTCTGGCCCGAGGGCTTGTGCAAGGCGGAGCTGTGGTTGTTGTTAGGGGGCTGAAAGCAGGCCATTGGCGGGCGAGACGTACCATACGACACCGTATGCGCCCTCTCCTACAACATCTTGGATGTCGTACTGCTCCGAGACGTTGAAGGAGATTTTCCTGGAGCTGCCGCTTCCTGCTGGTGGCATGGTGGCGGTTGTGGTGGACGGCTGCGCGAGGGCGCGGTGGGTTGGGAGCAGACGAGTGGAGGCTCAGATGGTGGTGATGGTGGTTGTAGTGGTTGCGGGGCTGCGGTTGCGTTTGTGCGGAGGGAGGGGTGGGTGAAGAGACGAGGGAGGTGGGCGACAATGTAGAGAGTGGGAGAGACAGCTGCAAAGAGGTGTAGGTCAGCACAGGCTGTACATGTCATCAAACAGGCATTGTTCGCAAGACGGAGGGTGTGCTTTGGGCGCTCATGGTGAAACGAGTCTGTGTCAGACACAGAGTTCAGCCCCACGTGCTTGTCTGCGCGGCACGAGCAGCCAGAGCAGCAGCAGCAGCAGCGGCGGCGGCGGCGGCGGCGGCGATGGCATCGGCACCCGCAATAGCAACAGCAGCACAATTGACTGTGTGGACGACGTGGGCGGCGGCTATCTTGGGCGCCACTGCACAGCGGCGGCGGCGCCTCTGGAGGGGGAGAGGACATGGATGACTTACCAGACAGTGGCGGGACGGCCGAGGGTTGTTGCTGCGTGGTGTGCCCTTGGAGGTCTTGTGCTGTGCTGCTTGTTCTGGCACTGGCTGGGACTGCCCGCGCAAGATGGAGGCGAGTGAGGCGGTGACAGAAAGGGGAGAGAGATGGTGGGGCAGCGTGTGTAGTATGGCCTGCCAAGTCCATCCCTCGCAGCTCCGCCCTCTAGCTGTACTATCACACGCCCGCGCGGGAAGCGGCACAAAGCGAGCCAGCGACTGTGGCTGTCGACTACGCCCTCCTCCCTGGCTGCTGGCGCACGGCGGCGTCGCTCGCGCTGGAACATGACGCCGGCATCAACAAAGCGGCGCAACGGCGCATGTCTTGTTGTTGGTGGTGGTGGTGGTGGTGTTCCTACTCCCCTCCCCCTCCAGCCAGCTTACTTGCTTACTCGCACGCCCGCTGCTGTCTAGGATGGGAAGGCGGGGTCGGCCAGGCACCATCCATCCATCCATCCACCATCCATCTATTGCAGGACCTCAGCTAGCAACAAACTCAACACCAACATGCTACAACAGACCACTTGAGACCGGCGATACAGTCCAGAATATACTCTGCCGCCCCAGCAACAGACTTTGGCTAGCCGCCCTGTGATCCAGCCACTGTGTGAGTTGCGCGACTCGCTCTCGTAACCCCTCTCCTTCTGTTTCGCCAGGCCGGCCAGACACTTCCGCCTATCGTTTCTAGGCCACTACGGCCAATACCTGAAACTGCTCATCTGCGCGCCCTACTCCCACCCACTCCTGCAACGCCTATACTTAGCAGACCCACTATGAGACCAGCCTCACCATGCGCCCTCCCCTTCTCCCGGACCCATTGGCTCCTCCGCACGCACATGGCCACCCCCATCACTGTCACAAACACAATGACTCTTGTCGTCCCGGCACCCTGGCTTGCAGCCTTTGCTTCATCGTCTTGTCACTAGCCCTATCCCCGCCACGCATCTGCAAGCCCTCTTGTGCGCCTCCGACAGCACAAGGAGAATAAAATCGCGCCGCCCCTCGTTGTACACAAACATGACGCTTGTTTCAAGTCGAAGCTCCGCAGCCTTTTCCAGAAGCCGTTTCAACCGGCAATCGATCCGGGCGGGAGCGTCGGCGCAACCCCCCCGCCCAGTTTTCTTTGCAATCCGCGAGCACCAAGCCCACATGCCGTACCACCCTGTTCCATGTATTTGGACCGGGTACGTACGTAAGCATGACTGCAAGGTCCCGTCAGAACCATACAAACGCCGCCAACCGACATCTCGCCGTCCAACATGGCTACTGCAATTGCCGGCTCACTTGGCTGGGCTCGAATGCGCCCAGCGCATCTGCGGTGTTTTGCATCAAAATACATACGCCCATGTGCCTCCATACATGCTGCCGACGAGTGTCCAAAGCATCAATTGGTTCAAATAGCCATTCGTAGAAACTAGTAGTAACTAACGGTAATGTTGTAAAATTGCAAGTCGCTAAGCCCTTCTCATAGGTAGAAAATATCAACATCCGCACCATGCCGTAAAGGCCAAGAAAACGCCCTTTTTCACACCTTTACTCCTACATACACCGTGTCGTGTACTACAATCTTCCTGTGTCGGTTTTGCCCTTGGGCCGAGCAGGCCGAAACTGATGTGTAGTACTCATTGTCCTGCCATCAATTGTTACGTCCGCTCAACCACGCCGGGAGTCATGCCGATGACAAAGAGCCCTTGGGTGGGTATTGCTGTCCCTCTTGTTCGATCCGTGGTCCGCATGTGCACCACTGCTCTGACGGAACGCTCTCCATGACACCAGCAATGTGCTTTCCACAGCCCCACCAAGTGACCTTGTCTGCAAGGTGTCAGCAATGCCTTGGTAGGATGACATGTCAAGACACATCTGTCTGGCGGGGATGCAGGGGGAGCGGACGGAGAAGACGTACGGCACGAGTCGCATGAAGCTTTCTTACACATGGTGATTATTCTGTTGTAGGTATTCGGTCCACCTTTTATGTAGTGTCGTAGTATATATACAGGTAGGCAGATAATCCGACGATCAATCTCGCTAGTATACAGAGTAGAAAAGTAATCTTCAGGTTTTTTTTAAAAAAAAAGACAACCACGTCTTCCCCATATGTATGTACCTCCACTTCCACCTTTATATAAACAAGAAAATCCCACATACGCGTACCCACATGATGCTATCCATCCTCTTCGGCGACCTCTCTGGGTCGCCCTCCACACCCGGACGCCCCAAGACCGCAACTTTGGTTCTCGGGCGCGCCCCGGTGATTGGCCCGCATGCGCTTTCCCCCGACCATTTTTTCCTAGTCGCCGACTACAAACTCGGCGACATTGCCCTTTTGAAACGCACATACCCACCCCTTTCCCTTCTTTCCCTTGTTCTCCTTCTTCCTCATTCTTTCTACACTCTGGTCTCTCGTATTCTTATCCCTCCCCCTCTCCGTCATGGACTGCAGGGGGGTTTAGCCTACGGGTGAGGCGTTTAAGTTGAACCTAGTTTTCGCCGGGGTTTTCTTTGCTCCGGGAGCTTGGAGAAACAGACGGCATGTATGTATACAGACATACATACATACATACATAGTAAATCCCGTGGGTGGTTTTTTGGGGCATTGTAATCCGGTTGCCAAAGGATGAAATCATGCAAGCCATCAAGGAGAGTTAGTATGTGACAGTATAGTAAGTAAAATAGATTGCATCTCCACCATGCACTACTACACACGGACAACATCGGGGAATTTTAACTCCTCTTGGTCCGAGACGCCTACGCTAGATCAATGCTCTAGTATCTATGTACCGTGTAAAAGTTCATGACCATACTTCTTAACACTTCGCCGACCAACTCGTCAACCATACTATGTAAACTTTGATATACGTACATACACACAAACACATACGGTGCTGAAGATCAATGCTTCTAGTCAAAAGTAATCTTCGTTGCAGCCTTGGCATTCTCCGTATCCTTGTAAAAGGCTCCATACGCCCCGTGTTCCTTCTTCTTGACCGTCGTGCCAAACTTCATCAGCTCTTCCGGCACGGGCTGGTTCGCTGCCTTGAGCACATTGATCAATCTGCAAGAAATTCGTTAGCTTACGCCTCTCATATTGCTGACACATTATACAAGAAAGGAGTAGAGGGGTAGAGGGGTAGAAGGGGGGGGGAGGGCGACTCACGAGCCAGAAAGCGCCTTGTCGTGTTCGGTAAACAAGGTAATAGCCAGGCCTTCCTTTCCAGCGCGACCTGTCCTGCCAATCCTATGCACGTAATCTTCAGCTGTCAGCGGGAAGGTGACGTTGATGACTACTTTGACGGCCGGAATGTCAAGTCCGCGTGCAGCCACGTCTGTCGCCACGAGCAGCGGCACATGACCTTCTTTGAACGCCGCAAGTGACGCACTGCGCTTTTCTTGGCTCAAATCGCCGTGAATGCCGCCTACGCGGAAGCCCTTCATTCGAATGAAGTTCTCAATGCGCACTGCTTCCTTTTTGTACAAACAGAATACAAGGATGCGATCTTCCTTATTTTTGCCAGACTGATATTGCTTGAGCAGCTGCAAAAGACGCTGCTCCTTGGCGCGGGGATCCACAACCTCGACCACCTGCTTGATGCGCACGTTGGCACGAAGCTCTCCAGATTGATTGTCGCCGATGGTGATTCGCACCGGCGAACTCATAAATGTAGATGCAAGGTCCCGAACTGAAGGAGGCCAAGTAGCGGTGAACATGAGCGTTTGGCGCTTCTTGGGCGTCTGCGAGATAATCTGTCGGATTGCTTCTTCGAAACCCTTGTCGAGCATACGATCAGCCTCGTCAAGGACTACGTACTCGGCTTTGCTGAGGTCCGCAGAACCATCACTAATCAAATCGTTGAGACGACCCGGTGTAGCAACAACAATATGCGCTTTGCGGCAAGCAGCAACTTGCGGGTCCTTTGGTACACCGCCGTAGACACAGACGACTGAAAGTCTGACAGGTGTCGCCAGGGCTACTAGTTGATCATAGATCTGGACCGCCAGCTCACGAGTAGGTGAGACAATGACAGCCTTGATACCCTTCCGCTTGTCCTTGGGCAATGCGGCGATGTTGCGCACGCAAGGCACACCAAATGCCAACGTCTTGCCGGAGCCAGTCTCGGCAACACCAACCATGTCCCTTCCTGCCAGCAAAAATGGCCATGTGGCTGCTTGAATAGGTGTAGGGGCGCTGAATTTGGAGAAAAAGGCGCGTAGCGTATCGTCGACAGGCAAATACTTGAAGTTCAAGATGGGACGCAGCTTGTTGCCAGTAGGCTTGGGGTCCTGGATGGTCATGGTGTTCTTAGCCAGGAAAGCATCAATCTCTGACTGAGGAAGCTGTGTCAGCTCCTTGCTCTCCTCGTATTGTCCCGGCGCTGCATTTGTCTCGTTCGTCGCTGCGGGCTCCACAGTGGTGATGGTGATGGTGGTTGGTGGGGATGTTGTTGAGGGTGTGGACTCGGCAGCTTCTTCACCCTTAGCCAACGCCTTCAGTCGCTTTTTCTCCGCTTTGCGCGCTGCCTTCTCCGCGGCTTTTATGGCTTCCTCGTCTTCTGCGACAGCGCCATTAGAATCTTTTACTTCAGCCTCTGCTGCCGCCTTCTTGGCCTTCTTCGCTTCTTTGGCTTCCTTCTTGGCCTTCTTTGCCGCCTTGCGCTCGGCCTTTGACAGTTTATCATTGTCCTCTGAATCGTCCGCGCTCTTGCCGTTCGTTACCTCGTCGGCGTGGCCATTGGTGTCTATCGCGTCGACGGGGGCGGATTTGTTGAGCTTCTTGCTCTTGTCCTTCTTGCTCTTCTTTCTTGAGATTTCGGGGACAGTGGTCGCGCCGTCTTCGGCGACAACATCGGAAATTGGTCGTTTACCCATCTTGTCGATGCGCAATGCTATCCGTGCTGGAGCAGCAAAAGAAGGTGGAAAAATCACTTTTTTTCGTCGGCGGTCGGCATTAGCTCCAATCGATAAGACACGCGCTAGTCCAAATTGTCCAAGTACGCGACCCTGAACAGAAATCTCGCGTCTCTGCGCCTCATGATGATCTTGCCCATGTGTGCGGCGATTCAGACTAAATATCGTCTCTAGACTAGAGCTTTCTTTTCTGCTCTCGACAACTCTAGCCACTAGTGAGAAAAGGCTGAGTGACCATGCGCTAACTGATCTTTGTTCATATTTCCTCGCAACCAAGAGTCATGACCACTGCCAGGCTACTGCGCACAGGAACAATATCTAGGTTTTTGTAAGCGGTCATGTCGAACGTGACGGTGCTCAGGTGCTGGCCAGCATGCGTTGATGCGATTGACTGGTCCCCAGACGGCATTATCGCGCTAGCGTCTGACGAACGTGTGGAGCTGCTTGTACGTTTCTTTGGGAAAAAGAGACCTCAAGATGACACGGGCTGATGGTCTTGTAGTTTCCAAATACCGTCGATTTTGATAGGGACCAAGTTCTTCCACAGTGGCAACATGTTCCCCTCAAGGTACCTCTTTTCTCAACTGATGAGCTGCCACTCAAAGAACTCGCGCCACTATCCAACTATTCTATTGGCGAGGAAATATCCAATAGCGCTCCTCTCAGTATCGCGTGGTCACCGAAGGGGCTTGCAAAGCATCGGAAATGCGCTCTTGGCGTTCTTACCACGAACCTGACCCTTTCTATCTGGTCAGCCGAGGGTAAGCCGCAAGATGAATCAAGCTGGTCCCGGCAGCTCATCATTAATGATGCGCTCGCTGAGCATTTTAGCGGCTGTGATGAAGAGCCTAACCACTTGACGGTATCACCCAAAGAACAGCTGCGCTTGCGAAGCCGCATTCGGGCGTTTGCATGGGCACCTGCTCTGCCTTTATCCGAAACAATTGGAATCATTGGGACTAGTCTGATGTACTCTCGACACTTTCTAGCTGTTTCCAACGATGACAACCACCTAGTTTTTGTGGCAGTTGAATCACCTACTTCTACCCTAGGGGTTGGGCGATATTGGACAGCGGAAGTTCTGACTCATGAGTCGTTGACATCAAACTCAGATAGTATCCTCTCGGAACCATGCGTGTTTGAAGATGTGATGAAACAACAGCGGTATATATCTCAAATCGCCTGGAGTCCGTGGATTCTGTTTGACGATGGCTACCGTTCGGTGGTTGTGTACGCTACGAACGAAGACGTGCGGGCAAGAGTCATTAAGCACCAGGCCGACGGCATATGCACGGAGAAGGAAGTCGTGTATCCTGGATGCGAATTGCGGTACCAAGGCCCGATGACATGGTCGCCTAAGATCGAGGACGGAAATCGACTCAAGCTTGCCCTTTTTACGAATGCAGGGCTTGTCTGTCTTACCATATCTGCCTACGACGGTTCCGTTATTGAAACAAAGACACACAGTCTTGACGGGCGATGGGACCAGATTTCCGGTGCGGTGTGGGATGCTCCTGATGATTCGACATGTCGTTTGCATCTAAGCTCACTGCTTTCAACTCTGCACAACCAAACATGTGCCCTTGAGATATCTCCCGAGGGCTTCAAAAGCCTTGGCAATCCCAGCTGGCGAGAGAAGATTGAAAATAACATTGCACTGTTCAGCGTTAAAAACGGGCTCAAGGGCAACAGCAAGGCCAAGGTTTGGGGCTTGTCCAAATCGCCACTAGGGGATTTCATTGCAGCGTGCAATAGCGTGCATCCATCCAACATGATCGAGTATGGTATACCTGCGGATAGGAGTGGGACGGTTGCGATTAGTTCTTTGCGAAATAGCAGCGAGGAGCGGGAGGCTTTTCCCAAGGCAAATGTCAGCGCAGAGGGGGTTAGCTATACGATCCGTAAGCTGGCAGAGGACAGGGTCGAGGATCAGGACGACATGCCTGCGTTTGCTGAGGAGATTGTGCAAAAGCTTACCAGGGCGTATCCAGCTCCCCGCGTTGCCGAAGACTATGCAGACAGGGTTCGTCTGTATGCTGACGCAGGCGATTTGAACTCACTGATCCAAGCGTTCAAGACGACGGCCTTTCTCGATTCGCATACACTCAAAGACCGGTATACAATACTCGTCTCGCAAGCCTGCAAGATGGGGACGTCACATGAGCTCGAGAGAACGTTGATAGCGTATCGTCTTGCCAATGCAGTGCACAGCCTTCCGGCATCACTTGTGAATTCAGCCTTGAGCGCGGAAATAGTAGCTCAGCACCAACAGCTTATCAAGCTTGTCAATGCGGTTATGGGATACGGCTCTTCAGAGAGCGAGAATCGCGTAGAGTCTAGTGCCTCAGGTACAAATGAGTCTCCAACGGTCAGTACTGAGACAAGCGGTAACACCAATGATTCGCGACAAGAGGCTGCGGCGGCGTGGGAAGAAGAGTGCGACTTTTGCTCTACTTCGATACCATTTACCGACTTAGTTTCAGCTTCGTGCACGAATGGACATCAGTTTGCGAGATGTGGATTGAGTTTTCTTGCCATCCAGGCACCCGGTATCACAAAGTACTGTGGCATTTGCAGCACACCATTCTTGAGCGACGAGTATGTGATAGCCCAGGAGAGTGTGGAAAAGAAGAGCGAGGATGTTGCAGACGATAGGGCGATGGAGGAGGTGGGCAGCTTGCAAAACGGAAGGGGACAAGAAAGGCTGGAGCAGGGCAATGATGTAAGTCGAGAACAGGACAGGGATGTTGAAAGAGATGGGGCGGATGAGGAGGAGGAAGAGGAGGAAGAGGAAGAGGAAGAGGAAGAAGAGGAAGAGGAAGAAGAAAGGGAGCTTCCTATCACGCTAGGACGAGTCGTGTTCCTGGCCTGCGATGCTTGCGTCTACTGCGGCGGTAAATTCGAGGGTTGAATGCAGGCAGTCACAGTAGACATGTGGTGGTCGTTGTCGAGCGGTGTTATCGTGCTCGGGGTGGGGCTTTGCGCATGGATGAGTCTAGTGATTGAGTGGGCATAGAGGTACAACCAGTAGCATCAAACATGAGTGCCAGCTAGATGTGGAGGATGATTTGTCTGCGCATCCGGATTGAGATTGCTGGTACATGCTTGATGACAAGATATACTTTGTCATTATCCTTGCAGGAAGCAGTTAGCCACCAACGCTTGGCTGATGACTCTGGGGCTTCGATTGTGGGACGAGGAGGAGAAGGGATGTGTTTGTTGGAGCTGATGCAGGCAATTGCTAGTAAGAACCCACATGCTCGGCCGTGGATGCTGGCTATTTGTGGAGTGTTGCCGAGCCCCGTGTTACATGGATAGACTGGAGCTTGCTTGGCCGCTATCGGGCGTCGACTGGCAGTGGAGACGTAGTCGGTTGGTCGATATGGAACAGCAGGGTCTTTGGTGCAGTCAGGCCGGAGAGGAAGGGGGCTTCTCGCAGGTTCTGCAGTGAGGGGCGACATTGGGGGGGCAAGGTGCAGTAGTAAGAGCGAGGGTAGTGTACCACGGGTGGCTCGACGGTCGCACAAGTGCCTCAGCCCACACTAAGCACCGCACAAAGCGCGCAGGCCAATCACAGGCGCGGGATCGGGCGGCCGGTGGGGTTGCCTGGAAAGGCAATTCAGGGCTCGGGGGCGGGGCAGGCGTGGCCGTTGGTCGGGCGAGGCCGCCACTGCATTGGCACGCCCGCACAAGTCGCGCATTCCCTGGGTATATAACATTTGCTTCGACACCACCTCTCCCTTCTTCTTCTCATCTCACACTCAAGCTCTCAAACCCTCTCAAGCCAACAATCAACACCCTCAATCCTCTTTTCAACCCAGCCCAACCAACCAACCAACCAACCAACCAACCAACCAACCCCACCATCAACATGAAGGGTAACTGCGGCTGTGCCTCCGGTGCCTGCAACTGCGGCGCCACCTGCAGCTGTGATGGATGCCCCGTATGTCACCCTTGTCTCTGTTCTCCATTCCGTTCAAATGCTAACAACCCTCCCAGGGCAAATAAGCCACTGACTCGATGAGTCGAGTGCGCAAACACAAGACGTACCACTCCGTGAGTGGCATCACAGACTGCTTATCCTACCGGGACAGGCTGCTAATACACTCGCCAGACAGTCTCGTCAAGACAGACACTGTGTCGCGGCAATCAATGCAGAGAATGTAGCAATTAGCATTGTATGACTAGGAGGGGATCAAGTCAAACGGGCATGAGACCATGAATACAATTGCTTTTTCCTTACGATATTTGTGTATCCGAACGTGTGGTTTATCTTCTAAGCCATCTTGATTTCGCCATCATGTGCTGTCATTATTCGCTGTCGCCCGTATCACCGTGTCAACCCTTATCCACAACACACGGTCGCATTCTCCTGCATGCGATCATCACCGCCTTTGCTGACCGTGAAGCTCTCCCAGCCGAAGATGAAGTAGCCAATGTACGCCCCAATGAAAATGCAGATGATGAAGTATCCGTTATAGTACATGGCCAACAACATGACAAAGTAGGCCACTGCAAACGCACAAGTGTGTAGCAATGCCCGGACTGCTTGTTGCAGCATCGTCGGCCTGAACTTGGCCTTGACCACACCACCCATTGTTGGACTCGCCATCTCCGCCGGCCCCGCGCCCTTGCTCGTACCCGGAACGATGCCGTCCGCAGACGACGACGACGACGATGAGAGGGCCGCGGTACCCGGCCCAAGTGTCTTGCTGTGCTGCGTCACGATGAAGTGATCGTACTCCTTGGCCGCCCGCCGCAGAAACTCGAGCAAGATGACGAGCAGAATGACGCCGATGCACGAGCCCGCAAACATGCCCTTGGATCGTATGTGCCATGACTTGGTGATGAAGCATGCGTCGACTACGTTCCAGTTCCACAGCATCTACGCCCCAGTAGTTAGTCATTCGCACTACATTCTCTCTGTAAGCGAGTTAGATCAAGGGGTGCTGCGTACGCTAATCTTGCATCCATTTCCCATTCCCATACCGCCCATGTCATCCATGTTTGCTGATGAGGTAGCCATGGGGGCCATACTACTCATTGTCGCCATGCCCGTTGACATGCCGGCGCTCGTGGGCGCTGCCGTTGACATGTCCATATCTGCTGTCTTGCTCGCTTTGGAATCAAGGCGGTAGTAGTAAGTCGAAAGATGTTTCGATCACAGATCGTGAGTGAACGGGGTATAGTGATCAGGTGCGGAGATATATCGAGAGAGAAGGCGGTGGGGTGAGGACTTGTAAAGATAACGCTTGAGCAAGTTTTCTTTTTTCTTTTCTTTCTCGTCTTTCCCGTGAGCACTTTTGCGCACGAAGGTGCGGGCTTCAAGTGGGAAAGAACAACCAGTAAGATTGGGTGAATCCAAAGGGAAAGCGCAGGGATCGATGCACGTTTGCCTCTTCGCTGCGTGCACTTTTGTACAATTCACGCTTTATAGTTTCTGTGTGCGTGTGTATGTAAATTTAGACTAGAATCAGCGGCTTGAAGGATAACAAACATAACTAAAAAGCAAAAAAAAACTGTCACTAGAACGTTGCTACTTTTATACTTGCTCATCATGGCTTCTCATAGCCTGTCCCAGGACACCACATTGTTTGGCGCGGCAAGGATGGTTGGGGGAGAAGGAAAGAATTTCCACCTCGCGAACCACAACATGTGCTTGGTATTACACAAGCGCCTACTTTTAGAGTACTGCTTTCCACCTAGTCACTCCTATCGCGTGTCACTGCATCGCCTGACCTCCTACCCACACTCATAGCATATTCCCACTTCCCTCCGTCCTAAGCGTCCTAAAAGTCCCAGAAACACCTTCACCGCGCAGCCCGCCATGCCGGATGCGGTTTAGCTGCTCATGCAGATGAGAAGGTTTCCAGGTGAGCATGTTTCACGCATACACGCACGATCTTGTCTTGACAGCCCTTTAGATAGTCAAAAAGGGTTTACTCTTGTTGAATTCTGCATACTTATTGGCTTTCTAGTGATTAGCGGCATGAACAGGGGAAGAGGGGAGCGGATGGGGGGGAGCGGTCCATGTATCTCGCATGTGCTGGGATACACTCTTCCCACACGTGTAATAGATGAAGTGCATGTTGCAAGTGCGATAGAGGCGTATTCCCAACAGTGTGGAAGCGATGCATCGAGTGGGGCTCCGGAATATAAAGGATGCAAGGTGCATGCAGCATGGGAGAAATGGGCACATATACGGTGCTCGCTTCTAGTCGCTTCACAAGTAAAGACCCAGACATAATTGGCATCCTGGGCATCGATGACTCGATATTTTCACATTGATGACCTGCTACGTGACTGAATATATACATTTGAGCAACCAGTCTTTTCTACCCACTCACTGTCTCATTTCTACCAAACGGATCAATACTCGGGTCCGTAATGCGCACATGCTCAATGAAGCGCGCGATATTCGTTGCGTTCTCGGCATTATAAGTCTTCTCAACCCAATGGAGCATCATATCAATGCCTGCCGTGACGCCCGACGAGCTCCAGATGGGCGGTGAGCTCGAGTTGTCCTCGACCCATCGCGCGTGCGGCACCCAAGTCGTGTTTGGGTTATTTTGCACCGTCGACAACCACGACGACTTGTTCGAAGTCGCCCTCTTGCCGTTCAAGATACCTGAACGCGCTGCAAGAGCGGATCCCGTACAGATGGTAAGCACTTGCTGCACTTTTGGCGTCGTCTTGCGAACATACTCCATGGTAGCGTTGAGCGTGGTCGGATTGCGCCATCCTGGTCCACCGGGTATAACCAGCACATCGAGGTCTGGTGCAGTCTCAAATGTATGTGTTGGTGTTATAGACGGGTAAACTGATGAGTTCAACGGATTCATGGCTGCCAATGCGGGCCGCGTAGTCACCGGGTCCAGAGTCTCGGCAATGTAGACAATGTTTGTCGGATATGATCCACCAATGAATTGCAGGACTTCAGATGGCCCGTACAAGTCGAGCATGTCAAACATGCGGAATAGAACAAAACCATAAGTCTTTGGCACATTGGCCCCTGACGCTGCTTTGTGTCAATGTGCTGTGCTGTTGTATACTGACAGGTATGTAACATATACCTGTTGCAACCATGGTGAGCTGTACCCCAAAAAGGGGAACCAATCCCTGTAAGAAGCCCATTATAGTAAGCAAGTTGGTTCCGAGGATCAATGTCTATGAGTGAGTTATGGGAACTGTTAATTAGACTGCTAGACCTCAACAGGCACCGACTCCTTATGTGCGCATTCGACACTGCTTGTATTTCTCAAGCGGTGTCAGCATCCAACGCATTCATCTGCTCTAATTCAAATAAAGGTTGCCCTCTTGGCAAGAACCCCGTAGTCTACGAATGACAACAACGATCAGAACAAGGTGGAACAAGGCGCCCAACCCATGCCCAATCTTAATCACTCCATCATGCTCATGTGACAGTCCAGTTTTGGATACTTGACATATTTTCATATATCTAGCAATGATGAGAGGCTAGAACCGCGCCGAATTGCGCAAGTTTCTGCATGAAGGAAGGCGTTTAATCAAATAGGCGAGAGGCCTGCATACAAGGCGTGGAATCCGAGTAAAGCTAAGTAAGCGGATTAACCCGACTAGGAACATCGTCTCGTCTCATTCTTCTTTGTACTTGATCGGTATCACGATTTATTTATCAAGTGTAGAGAAAAAGTTATGATGAAAAGAGATATTGGTATTGGTATAGCAAAGTGCAAGCCGCCTTCCGATCGGCCTTTTTCAAAAAAAAAAAAAAAAAAAAAAAAAAAAAAAAAACTCAAAAAACCATCCTTGCGCCACACGCCCGACACAGTTTCCTCCATACACATTATTATGTGGATGACCATTCAATCTTACCCAACTATAACGACATAGAGAAGAAGAGAGAGAAAAAATGATACGAAAACAACCATTTTTCTTTACAAAATACTTTGTACACCCTACGCTTGCGCCCGAATGGATCGCATCATGCTGATAACAGGAAGAAGCCTGCGCAGCTTATTCTTCTCACCCGGCTGAACAAAGTGTGTGTCTTGTCGGCCAAGAGATCCAGTCTCCACGGGCGAAACAGCTACCGTAGCGCCCTTTTCGGCCGCAGGATCGCACGCAATGACCTGTGTCTTCCTGCGTACGATAGGAGAGCCAATGGGCGATCGCATCTTGTCGGCGATGGGGGAGAACATGGCTTGTCTGCGGCTGATGGGCGAGCAAACGACAATGGGTCGCTGGCCCTCGCCTGCCGACGAAGTAACGATAATGGGACTGTTCTTGCCCACGACCGGCGAGCAGATAATGATTGGCTTCTGCTTCTCGTGGATTGGCGTGACGAGGACAATGGTGCTCTTCTTGTTCTGGTTGAAGACGCTGACCTTTTCCATGGGTGTAGTTCCGGGAATGATGAGCTTGGGAGGAGCAATGGTACCAGCTGTTTCGGCTGACTTGCGTCTTAGGCTGAAGTATGATCCATCCGGTCCATCTACCCAGGAGCCTTCAAAACCTGGGGTTTGTAGAGCCTTCCTGGCTACTTGGGCTTTGGCGAGGTACATGAACTCATCGCCCTCCACTTTGATCATGCAGTTGTGCCAGGGTGTTGGGAGCTGGTATTCGTACACGGGATTGGGCTCGAGGCACGTCTCAAGCGAGTCAATTGCGCGCACCTTGTCTGCTGGCAGTAGACGAATGGCAAATTTGGGACCCGCGTTATTGTGTGCGTGGATCGACAGACGAACGTAGTTTGGAAGGAGGAGCTCCGTCAAGTTGGAGTACGCTTGGTTTCGAGACATCATTTCCTCTGCTACAAGGGCAGCCGTCTTCTTCTTCTGCTTGCCGCTCAGAGACTTGACTGACGGGATGTCAGCCAGATCCTCGAGCATGAAGCGCGTCTGGCCTCGGTAAAGTCCAAGAGCATCGGGTTCTTGCTGCTCAATTAGCTGGCGGATGTATGCACGGTCGGGTCCTCCGATGCCGAGCATCAGTTTGCGACAGAGCTCAGCTTCACCGGTGAGCTTCGTCTTGACGGGATGAGGCATCTGGTGTGAGTTTTTTAGTAGCTTCTGTAGGCCTAGGAAGCCATCAGAGTCGGCCGCAAAGATGTTCTTTAGGCCCTTGAATTTGATAGCGGGAACAGGACCAGTGTCCTCTGGGTATCGTTCCTTGTATATCGCTGCCATGCAAGCATCATATGTGTCGATCATCTCATCGTCAACTCCAACTGCTCTTGGTTAGTTCAGGTCTTGAGATGCAGCGTTCAGTACAAGACTTACTGCAATCGGAAAAGACGTGGCCGTCATTGATAACCCACATGGTTGCGCCTGGTGCATACACGCCGTTCACCTCTTGGATGAAGGCGTGAAGCACATCCATGGCAATATGCTCAGCCAGATCTGGCATGATACCGCCGGCCTTGTTTGGATTCGGCGACTTGCAGGGAAAGGCAGGTAAGGCTAGTTGGATTGGAAGGTTCTTGTCAACATAACCGTAAACGCGGTTCAAGAACACCTCTTTACCGCACACATGCCACTGGTCATCCTTGGAGATATTCTTGAGTCTCCGCTCGAAGATTTCGGCAATGACTGCACAGGTCTCGCGGTGCTTTTGAGCCCATGGTGTGGTTGATGTTGAGATGTGAGCAAATGGTTGAAATTCGGTCTCAAGGAGGACGAAGCGCTCTGCCCATATCCCAAAGCCATCGACTTTGACAGACTTTGGCCTGGAAGTAAGAATGCCCAAAAACAGACCATTTGCGTGCTGGATCTCGGACACTTGTGTGTTGAGTTCTTCTTGTTGATATGATGGTGGGAAATTTGAGCGAATGTGTAGAAGAGCTGGAATGCTGGCGTTGATCTGGAGAGTCTTGATGGCTTTGCCAGAGGGCAACTGAAGTTGACTCCACGACGCGTCAGTGGAGCATACAATATCTTTGAGTTGTGTCCATATTTCTGGGAGAGATTTTGAATTGCTTCCTTCGACAGCTAGGAGTTCACCTGCAGTATCTCTCCAGTACAGCCCCTGGATGCAGTGATAGGTGTTGATGGACTTG